GCATCGATCGTCTGAGCTAAAATCCAATATGTTAGATTGGGCGACGGTGGAAGATATTGATAGACATACTGTAAAGATCCTCAACTGGCTCCCCATTGAACCGGAAGCTGGCAATCGCTGTACCGTCGGCCTTGAGGATAGGGACGTAGTCAACCCGATCCAGGTAGCTATCCTTCTTAGCGCATGACTTGATGTTGTGCAGACAGTAATTGATTCAAGCAAAGCTGACTTACATTTGTTGCTGCTCTTCGTCCCAAGTATCCGGTCAAATCGATGTCTTTCGAGTGAAATATGTTCGGCTATTTCCTCAAGGCAATCCGCATGACGCTCATGGTCGTACACTTGATCGCGTGGAAGGGTGGCAGGCTCATCGCTCATTGTGGTGATTGGCTCTGAATCACGGTCGATGTTTAGCTCTCTGTGATTCACTGTGATAGATAACGGATTCACAGGTGTGAAGGTTGAGATTGATGTGGTGATGCCCAACGTTTGGAGGGGAACAGACACGCGACTTGTGTGGAAGTCTCCACCAGGTCAGAGTTTCATCTGCTGGTCTAGGAATGTAATACTTTAAAATGAACTAAATTTCTTAGGTGTTATGGGACTTATCTATCAGGTGAGTATAACTCGCAGAGAATGGCAGTGTCAATTATCTTGCCTGAGCCTGATTTATAAGTATTTTGGGTCTTGATTTAAGTCGAAAAGAATAGGATAACAACGCCACTGGCTACTTAATATAAGAACATTGAATGTTGTTCCGCTGTGTCTCGGCAACTATCATCACCATTGATACGTTGGTCGGCTTCACTTTCGAAAGCACCGTCAGATTGGATACACACTGTAGGACCAAGCACTCTCCCCTTTCGGTCCAGCGTTTCCTGACCTGAGTGTCTATTCTCGGTCTGAGGCGTTTGTTGTTCTCCATGACATCTAACAGCAAGCATTGTTCTGAGTTGACCAGGTTTCCCTAGGCAGTGTTCCCGTAAAAGAAGTGGATCCTCCGGCTGCCAAAGATGTATCATGGTGTCCCCAACCCGTAATGGTACGGTGCTAAACCCGAACGTTCGGGTGACGTGATTTTCCGAACTCAGAGGCTCTAATTCGCATAAACAAAGTTTTTCTAGCAAAGCATCCAGCTTCCCCAAAGCACTGAGTGTTTCGATGTCCGATGGTGCAGCAACGTGTTTGTTAACGTCCCTCATATATTTGTTGAAGGACTTGTTCCTTAGCGCCTGGTTAAAATCCGGATGACGATATTCAACAATTATCCCCACCAGGACGGCAAGTGCCAAGATGTGCAAAATCGAATTTGAGATAGAAGGGAATAACTGGTTCAGGACTTTGAGTGTTCGTCTGGCTCCACTGTGTTCATTGTGTTGGGCGTCCCCAAATTGGGTTGCATAAACCACTCGCCGTCCTTCTGGACCCCCGGTCGAGGAATGCCAGTGAATTTGCAGGTCGTGATTATAGAATGTTAGAGTATTTCGGGCGAAGGTTTCTGACGAACGAGGATATGGTTCGTACGTATCGGGGTTCCTGATGCGAGAATAGTAAGGTAGTCTACGTTCGCGTACCTGGGACCAATCGGGGACCCACGAGGGATAGAAGTCGTCACCTGTTCGAGAAATGGGCCCGAATTCAAACAGATGGAGAAGGAGCTGGAATTTCGAATCACAGGTATCTTGATCCAACGCGATGGTGGCGACTTGCTTGTATAGTTCAGTCCAATGAACTGTATAATCAATGTCGATTCTTTGATCGTTATCGAGGAGGCCGACTAAGGCTGCAACTCGGTCTTTTTGCTCAAGACAACTAGATTCGTGAAAGTTCCAGAGGAGTTCCAGAAGGTCAAATCCCACAGACGACTTGCCTAGATTCACTGTCATCTTAACGGAATACCAGGAAATGTCGAAAACTTGCAAATGTCTCGCAGCCGAGATAAGGACCGACAGTGGAATCGAAAACCGCCCGCAGTGAACAAAAGCCTGGGTAGCAAGATACGCCTCCTGAATAATCCAACGACGGGAGAACCAAGGACGTTCGAAGAAGCTCATCAGGTGAACAAGCCCTGGATCGTCATCGCCTCTGATACATCTCCTTGCAAGACGTACGATCCGCCCTGCCATATCCCATTGTTTGCGTCCACTGAATTCTGATTGTGATAGGTGACGAATTTTACTGACTTTTCGGAAGAATGTGAAAAGGCTCCGGGTCATCTTGTCCTCAGGCCCCACCCAAAATAAAAACATCTGTTGCCTCTTTGTATATCTTTCCCATCAGTGGGATCTGTCTTGCTTTATCAATCCCGCTCTCTTGGTTGATGCACAGGGTATCGATCCAAAGAATTCGCCGTCGGTTCTGTGACCGAATGTAACGCAATAACCCGTCAACACTGGCTGTGATCCTCAGATAAGATGTGTCGTCATGGTCTCTTATTTCCAGGTTGTATGGAAACTCTTGCTTGCCCCATACGTAGGAAATAGCACAATAGCCTCCATCTTGAACCGAGGGAGGATTGTCGGTGATAGTGCAGCTAAGCGGCGTTTCCGGACTGAGCGCTGGGTCTAAGTGTACATAGCGTGTTGAGTCTTTCTCAGCTAGAGGATCGTAACAGAATCTATTGAAAACTGGCATGGCTTGGTTTTGGTGGATTTTCAATTCTTTTCAGAAAGAACTCTTACCCCGCTCAAAACCTCGCGCATACAACAAGGGCATTGGGTACTTCGCGGGTGGCGTGATAAGCGACGAGACTACAAAGGATCAGCACGGCACAAACAGGCCGGCCCGGCCCAGAACATCCAGCCCTGTCGAATGGCCACAGAGCTTTTGTGTTCCCCACTTGCCACCCAACATACGCTGTCTGGGATCCTGCGGGTACACGAATTGGTGCCTAGCAGGCTGACAACCGTCTAGAATAACTAATTCCGTCCAGGTTTATGCTGTTACAAACCATTGGAGTTTTGTAAGTCATATCTATGAGATGAATGATATCTGTCTCTGCTGTAGCAGTAGGCAATAATAGGAGCAGCTAAGCGGTATTTATAACTAAAGTTGTATTTATATTTAGTAGTTTCGTTTATATATTATTAGCTATAATATTTGGGTTTTCTAAGATATATAGCAATTCATTTTAAGTTGGTATTAGTAGATAGTGTGGAATAGTTAAGTGACACATCTGGCGATGAGATGCTAGATGTGTCGCTAGCAGGCCCCGAGTAACACTTTCCGTAGGGCTCCTGGTAGGGAGAAGACTTTTTGGGTCCTATGCAATGACCATCGCTGGTGCCGCACCAGCCTTTTGTCAGTCCCTGTTCGTGCGGGCGCATGATGGGAGACAATAAGACTTACCGAAGCTACAGCAGAGATCGAGACCCCATTTGAAGATACTCCCTACTGAGAGCGCCCTGTACATGGTAGTAGTGTCGCAGTTGTTCTGACAGCCCTTACTACCGAGGTCTGCACCGTAGCCACAGATTCCATCCCTGGAGCAGCGACTGAGGTAATTAAAGCATTAGTTTCCTCAATATCATCTCACGTTCCATGATGGATGATTTATTTATCATCGGGACCGTCTCTATCGGGGCATAGAAGAGTTCTCTCTCCTGTCCCAGCACGACGAAACAACTGAGTCGTTGAAACAGCTAAGAAGCCACGGCTTGACAACTTAGTGATATTGTTAGTAGGGTTATTCTAAGACACGCGCAGAAACTTATATTTGCTCAAAGCTTCGTGGTCATCCTACAATACGTTCTGGTGTGTGATGCTTCCTGAACCCACAGATGCCACAAGGGTAATTCTGTAGAGGTTGAGAGCCACCTTTGTTTTTTCTCCGGGGTACGTGTTTAAAGAAAGTATATAAAACTGGTTGTCCATATACACGTCTTGCTTCTGAACATCTCTGCTTAAAGATCAATCGATCTGATGCATGACCGGCAACCAGACAGCCGAGCCAAGCCAAGTAGTCTGACGTTGAAAACTCGATCTCACCACTACAGGGACTGGAGCGAGTGGGTCACAGGAGGATTGTCCTCCAAGGCTTAGACCGTCAAAATAAAGCAACCCAAGTACAGGGATAAACTCATACACGGTGACCAAATCATTTCGTCTACTATGCTTGTGGAGGAAAAGAGCAATCTTCTTTTTATGGGGTGAGAAGTATTTTTCCGGGCTTCACGAGCTCAGACTCTTTGCGACCGTTGCGCCTGAAGCAGCTTTCCCACTCTAAGGTCACTAAAGTAATCCGCGCGATTATTCTTAGAACTCAGCAACGTTACGAAAGAAAAGGTTGAAACCGTCCCATCATGGATGAGCCAGGTGCAGGAACATACGCGGGTGGCTTCGGAAATTTCCACCGGGCCGCTGCCAAGCCCCGTAAGCCACAGCTAGCTTACCGTTCTAGTTAAGATTGAAATCACCCCTGAAGAATAACGACCTTCGTGGCTTCATTGATTGGCTTCTTTTCTTCTAGCGAGACGGAAGGATCTTGCTATTGCTTCTGGTCGGCACTGATGGGCCGGAGCAAATCCTAGGTGGAATGCATTATGTGATGCGATTGGACAAAATACTGCTGGACCGGTCAACGAATTTTTGTCCTTGTTACAAATGAGGGTACCGTCTGCCCTGTGAACTGGCTGGCAAGATGGTCGGGTAATTTGGGAATATTCTTGCGACTATGCCTAGCGGCAAGATTTCCAGCACAAGGTACACTTTTCAAGCATCGTGAATCCAGCGTTCACATAAGCGTTCATTTTTACCTTGCCTTGCCCGGCCCACCTAAGCATAAAATGTAGTCTTTGCGTTTATCCGGTTTTGTAACTGGTATAAATGTAAATTGTATAAGGGTACCCTATACCTCAAGCTAAAACAAGATAAGATAAGATAAATAACGTATAACTGTAATTCTTAATATGGAGTTTTAAGATTTGCAGATATATCCTGATGTTGATTTCTAAAATAAGTACTAATAAGAAAGGTAAAAAAACTATCTAAAATGCTATTTCTTAGCATCCATTAAGGAATGCATACACACTGGAGTCTTTAGCTCCAATGTACAAGTACTCTGCCCTACTATCACCATTCAAGTGCCCAAATGTCACCATATCCGATGTTGACCAATTTGGCAAATGCTTTACCCCAGAAGCCACCGAACCCGGGTTCCACCACACCAAGGGGGCGACAGTAGCCCAGTTCTGGCTCTTCGGGCCGCGGTTATACCAAGCATTCAGGCCGCCTGTCGCATTGTCAACGGCGATGTAGTCGGCTCGACCGTCACCATTCAAGTCGGCAAACCGAATGTTCTCTCGGCTTGTGCCCACTCCACTGGCGATCTGGCCCCAGTTCCACCATCCCCAGCCGCGTGATGCGCGACGCCCTTGGTTGATGTACAAGGTAGCCGCGCCATTGTCTGCGAGATGGATGAAGTCCGCTTTGCCGTCGCCGTTCATATCGGCAAAACGCACACCTGTAAAGAAAAAGAAATGTCAGTTTTAAACTTCCAATACCAAGCATGTACTGCATTCAAGGAAGAAGAAACAAAAAGAGAGGATAAAGCAGGGAATGCAGTCAACTAGTGACTTACCTTGGCCGTCTCCAATGCCCGTGGCGATCTCTTCTCCAGCGCCTGGACCCCAGATAACTTTGACTTTTCCATCAGAGGAGAAGCCCTTATTCCACCAAACAGTCGCAGATCCAGAATCCTTGACCCAGATGAACTCGGCACGACCATCACCATCAATATCAGCAAAACGAACCTGGTATCCCTTTGCCCCACCACCACTGGCAATAACACCAATAGGTTTCCACTGAACTTTACCAGCATTTGGACCCGAGTCGGGAGCGTTACCAACATTCCAGTGCATGTAAACCTCGCCGTTCTCACTGACGTGGAGGTAGTCGTCCCGCCCGTCGCCGTCGATATCTGCCATAAAGACACCAGTGGCGTGATTATCAAGTGCTGCACTTCCTCGCCCGCCGCCAGACGCGATTATGCCCTGAGGGAGCCAGGTGGGCACCTTTCCGCACACAACACCGCCGCTGCCGTTCTCGGGTGGCTGGCCGGCAACAGGTTCCTTGATCCAGTCCTTCTTGAACGCTTGCTGCACGCCGTCCCACCAGACAGCGGCCATCTTAATGTAGCCTAGATCATTGGGGTGCAGGCCGTCCCCAAGATCTGTAGTGCTAACAGCTTCATCCATGTACATAACTAGCACTTTCTTGCCGTCGTCCGCGCGTGACTTAAGAGCATCCTCGATGTCGTCATTGAAGGCGTTGATACGAGCTTGCGTGCCTGAGTTGGTGGATGGTGTGATACGGGCCACGAGAACGGTTGCATCGGGACATTTGCTGATGATCATGTCCACCAGACTCATCAGACGGTTGACAGCTCCTGCTGCGCCTGCATCGCTGCCCATGTCATTGGTGCCCGCATGCAACAGAACAACATTCGGTCGCTGTGGGAGGATGGGCTCTGCGTAGTTTGAGATCTCGGCGATTTTGGCGCCGTTGTGGCCCTCGTGGTCGGCGTCCCCAGCGTCACCGGAGCGAACAGAACCGATCATGTCAACGACGTTATCAGCGTTCTCGGTGGCGAGGCTGTAGAAGGGGCCGCGATAGCCGGCATTGCTGGTGCTGCCGAAGCCGTTGGTGATTGAATCTCCTAAAGGCAGCACACGCAGATCTGGTCGCTTAGGTTCAGGCTCAGGCTCAGGTTCGGGTTCAGGGTCTGAGGGAGGATTGCATCCAGTATTGGGGGGTAGCTTGCCAGGCGAGCCCTCGTCGACGTTTACGTCAAACTCAATGTCGACAATAGGGTCATAACAGATTTCTGTAACACCACCAAGCTCCCTACAATCTTTGTCGACCACTTTCCCCAGATTTGACGCAAAATTATGGCCAATTCCGAAACTTGCACTTCCGAAATCATGATTCTAGAGAATCTCGCGATGTTCCGGGGTAGGAAATCCGTTCCAACTGACCAAGTCAGCAAGCTGCCATGTTCCTTTATCATTCTCAACCTTGTCATCGGCTTCATTCGCGAATCGGAAGGCATGTGTCGAAATCGAGTCTTTGTGGTAAATGATCTATACATAAACGTTAGGCGATAAAGTACCATGGGTCAGAGTTACTATCATACCTTCGGATGGTCGCCATTGTGCCATCGCACCTCGTCCGCAAACCTGCAGTCGTAACTGCCATGTGCTGAGGCACATACGAATTTTTGTTTCGTTTTATCAGTTGGAACCCAAACCATAATATGCTCCCAGTCGTGGGTGTGCCCAACACCGGGGCTGGCGTAGTCCATTTCAAAGTAGTAGTCATACATGTAGGCACACCAGCCGCTATTACATCGCTGCCGTGAGCTATGACCAATTTAGTCAGCATCAAATAGTCGAGAGAAAGATAATCGAGGAGCTAGCTTACTAAACGTTGGAGTTATCAAGATCGGTACGGCAGAGTCCATAGTTATCACTTCGAGGTAAGCCCTCAGCAAGCTTCTTGTCGCAGCCGATAGCAGGTACATTGTAGCAACCATTTCCATCAAAGTCTCGAGATGATATCAGCGGTCGGAAAACATGTAGCTATTACCGCGATTGTAAGAAGGTATCTCACCAAGAGCTGGTTGGTGACGACGATCATTGTCCGTGGCCCATTCTGGCAGTTTGGTAGGGGGGGCACGCTTTCTCAGCGTAAGAGCATTAGAAGGCGAGAAAAGTGCTGTCCCAAGGAGCCACAGAGAAGCCTTTGCCAGAGCACCATGCGCTTTGCGCGAAGGCATAAACGACGGCATATCTGCGAATGGGACTTTTTGTTGAGAATCTAGCAGGTTGCTTCTGGTCACTATATCAAAGGGACCATCTAACAACGGACGACACAACTTATATACTTGATCCCTTACAACCTATGTACAGGGACTTTTACAGATTGAAGTGTAAGCGGAACAAAGACTACACAACTTTGCTGCGGCCTTTGCTGTCAATTCCGAGATATGGTGTGTTAAAAAGCAGCTGCCTGATAGAGCATAATAGAACATGGTTGTCCAACAGTACTGCAGTTTTCCTTCCTATTACAGGCTATAAGATTACAGCTCCTTCGTAAGCTTACTTTTGTCAGAGTAACTAACCTCTTTCATCAATTTAACGTAACATCTGTTGATCCTTTACATGTTGGGACTTTACATGTTGGGACTTTACACTATAGACTACCAGGTACCGCATCATGCCACCCTATAAGTCAGCTATCCAACCGAGCTTACTGTATTCGAGCAGGCGAGGGTGGATCCTTCAGTATCCATTTCGCCGAGGCTAGCGCCAAGGATATTGCAAAGACCTATTAGACGTGCAGGAGACCGAGTTGAAGTTGCAGTCGCTTAGCAGAGTGAAAAAGAAAACTCTAGAAATTGCTAAAGGATTTGAGGGAATTTACTAACCCTTGGGTGTATTTTAACTTTGTACTTTACAACAGCTAAATTGTATGAATGTAGAAATTTAAAAATCTAAAGGAAGTTAGGGTATTAGTGAGTTTGAGACGTGCCAACGGGTTCGTATGTCCGCCTTTAGACTCGACGCAGTCACAAAGTGGAAGAAAATAGTCAGTTTCTGACAGTTCCTGGTCCATATAACAGGCTGTGATGGATTCTAAGTACGCTATAATACCAATGGAGAAGTTGGTGTGTTGAGATGAGAACGGAAGGGACATGACAGACGGTGGCCGCGAAGCTTGTAACGTTGCAGTCTATGTCCAATGCTGCAATATACTGCGAATGCCCTGAATGTATGTTGGCTCAAACAACGAAGTCTGGTTCCACGCCTCTTATATGTTATATTGTCAGACTACTTGGGTAGGGCCTAGCGACCTGTTACCCTGTAGTTCTTACTTGGCTACTTGTAACTGTTCTTATCAAGAGTTAGTCGGGGTCTGCTAGTGACACATCTTGTGATAAGACGCCCGGAACACCTTTCATCACACAAACTGTTATTTACAATCATCTTTCAAAAGAATCTTGTCCCCCATAAGGTTCGAATTAATGTTATAATAAACTGTCGGAAGCAATAAGACTATGTATCGTATAGAGAAAGAAATAGTATAGCTAAGATAAAGTACGAGCTTTCAGTACTATATTGATAATGCATAGTATAAAGGGTTATTACTCCTTATCAAGTATCTCCTTCTTAGTATCAGAGCTACTAGACGTAGCAGATGTGTTGTCGCTATCGAAAACAGCCGCAATAGCCTCAAGACTAGGTCCCTTGGTCTCAATAAAGAACTTCCATACAATTGCAAGCTCGACAGTTAGCCAGGCAACATAGACAAAGTAGAACTTCCAAGCCAGAGCCTGGAGGCCAATGGGATTGACCATGGTGTTGATGAAGTTACTAGCCTTGCCAAAGAACATGAGAAGCGAGAATCCCTTGGCCCGGATGGGATAAGGCAGAATCTCAACTGGATAAGAGTAAAGAAGGGCGTTGAAAGCCAGGTTGTAGAAGAAGTAGAACAGGAAGAGCGTGGCAATGACAGCTTTGCCTGCAGCAACATTATGGTCCTCGTTGAACAGACCAGCGCAGAGAGTCTGGCTGGCAAAGACGCCGAGCATACCTCCAACAGAAAGAAGGAACTGTGTGCGACGCTTCATGTGGGCGGTGAGGAAGGCGGAGGCGACCGAGGTAAGCCAGTTGAAGATCATCAGGCAGCCATTGAGAATGTTTCGTTCCTGAGCATCGGACACACCAACTGTCTCTAGAACACGGACCAAGTAGTACGATACAAGACCGTTGCCGGACCATTGACTGAAGCATCCAAGACAAACGAGGATGAAGACTCGCTTGCGGTTTCCAGGAGTCTTGATTAGATCCTTCCAGCCCGTCTCGTTGCCTACTTCAGCCTCGATAACGTTTCGCATCTGGATAAACTCCAGCTTCACCAGTTCATCGTTTTCGTCGCCATTAGCATGCCACTTGACCAACATAGCCTTTGCTTCTTCGCTTCGACCGTTGGCGATAAGCCATCGTGGGGACTCAGGTAGACAGAAGACGAAAGAGATGGGGAACAGGGCGGGTGCAGCTTGGAGCAGAGATGGAATTCTCCACGACCATTCACTGGGAATACGAAAGGTTCCGAAGGTAACCCAGGCGGCAAGAATAGCACCGATGTACCAGGAGGTTTGGTAGAGGGAGGTGATGACCTGTCGTTCCTTGGGATGGGCTAGCTCTCCAATGAGCATAGGAGCGTAGGCGTTGGCGAAAACGAGACCGAAACCGATAATAAAGCGGGAAGCGAGGAACATGCCAACTGGTAATAAAGGTCAGCGATCGAGATCGACAGAGAGTAGAGAAGTCACGAGGCAACTCACAATTAACAGAGGCGCCTTGGATGACAGCACCAATAATCATAATAATAGCACCAACAAAAATACCCATGCGACGTCCGTATCGATCACCGACAAGACTGATAAAAGGCGTCGCAACGACACATCCGAGAGGTAGAATAGCCGACATGATACCAAGAAGCGCACCTCGAGGTTGGCCAAAGTCTGATGAATAAATTAGCACTAACCAATGATGTCGCAGTCTGGAGAAGACCTACATTCATCCCACGATGGCACAGCTTGGAGACCAGACATCATGCTGGCATCAAAGCCCAGAGTAATAGCCGCGCACAAACATGTCGGAACGATGAGAAGATACAGCCGAAAAAGGCTTTTGTTCTTGTAGAATGGGGGCGCGGCAGCGACAAGTGCCTGGATTCTTTGATCGAGATCAATCGTTTCATCGGCGACGACGTGGCTGGCGTCTTCGGTCATAGCCACATCTGCTTTAGCATCCAGGGTGTCCCTGCCCATCTTGAATGGCTTTGAAGATTGAAGGAAAGATGAAAAGAAGTGCTAGTGCAGTGCCAGTATTCCAGTTGGTGATGGAGTTTGATGCGGGTGATCGCCAGGTATTTAAGAATTACTGCCGACACCGGCCTGGGCCCCGTGAGCCTGCTTCGGACAAGACCTCTGCCGTCTGTTGAGTACCCCAGCAGGTTAGCAATGTCAAGCTGAAGCAAAGGCAAAGCGCCAATACTACCTCGTGACAAGTTACGATGCGGGGTCCCCTAGAAGAAGAAAAAAACTTGCATCGAGTAATTTCATGACCCCATGGGGCTTGAAGTTAATCCCCGCATTGAGGAAGCGCTGCGAGTCAGGAGGTTGAGGTAAACGGATACTTCCCGAGAAACACTTTTTTCTACCGGGTGCTTCCCGGCCCTTCCCCACTTATGCCCAACTTTACAACTCCAAGTTTCAGAGACTCGGTAAACCCCTTGGCCTATTGAAGCTGGATCTTCGATATTCGCAACAAAAGTCTCATTACTTTGCGGATTTCAGAGGAATATCTTGACATTGATTGTCAAATTGTGAACCCAGCAAGTCATTCATTCCATCACCCAATATGACGTCTAGTCAAACTACCAACGATCTTGTCTCCCAGCTTACCATTGAGGAGAAGGTCTCCCTACTCTCAGCCGTTGACTGGTGGCGCACGCCCACCATCAAGAGAGACAATGTTTTTATACCTCACATCAAGATGTCCGACGGGCCCAATGGCGCTCGAGGCGAAAGCTATGTGAGCGGTATAACTGCCGCATGCTTCCCTTGTTCAACCGCCGTTGGTGCTTCATTTGATGAACAGCAGGCATATCGTCTAGGCGAGGAGATTGCAAAAGAGACCATCACAAAGTCTGCCAATGTCCTGTTGGCCCCTACTATGAACATCATCCGATCGCCTCTCGGGGGACGCAACTATGAGACTTACTCAGAGGACCCCTACCTTACTGGAATTCTGGCCTCTGCTTTTGTTCGTGGTTGCCAAAGCCAGGGTATTGCAGCTACACCCAAGCATTTCGTCGCCAATGAGTCGGAAAAGTGTAGGACCAAGATGACATCCAACATTGATCGCCAGACCTTGCGTGAGATCTACATGCTGCCTTTTCAGCTCGTCCTTCGCGATTCAGATCCTTGGTGCTTCATGACTTCATATAACCGCCTGAACGAAGAGTACTGTGCGGACAGCCAATGGCTATTGGAGGATATCCTCCACAAGGACTGGGGATTCTCTGGGCTAGTGGTATCTGACTGGATGGGAACTTACTCAACTGCCAAAGCACTTGTTGCAGGAATGGATCTTGAGATGCCAGGCCCGACAAGGTGGCGTGGGAAAAAGCTCATCGCAGAGGTAGAATCAGGAACTGTTCCTGTTGAAGTACTCGATAAGAGTGTTCGGAGGGTTGTGGAGCTGGCAAAGAAGACGGGCCGCTTTGATGATCCTGTCGAGAAACCTGAACGTTCTGTCGAGGATCCGGATCGACAGGAGTTCATTACCGCTATTGCAGCTGACGGCATGGTCCTACTCAAGAACGACAACAACGTACTTCCCTTGTCTGCAAACGCCTCTGTTGCCGTCATTGGTCATTTCTCTACCAATCCCAGTATCGGTGGTGGTGGCAGCGCAAAAGTTCTAGCACAACATATCATCTCACCACTCTACGGACTTGAATCACGCGGGGTCAAGTGTCGACACGCCCTAGGTGTTCCTGTCTTTGGAGCTTTGCCCCACGCCGAGCCAGACTTCATCACAGATGTTCAGTTGAGATGGTTCAACGGTTCGGTTGTTGGAGATAATCTCGCACACGAGCAGACGATCAAGCAACCAGAGTACATGATCAAAGAGGCTTGGCCCTCGTATCTCAACAAAGAATATTGCACTAGCATGTCCTTCAGCCTGACACCTTCATCAACTGGAGATCACACGTTCTCTGTCATCACCACTGGCAAAGCTGATGTGTTGATCAATGGAAGCAATGTTTTCCACCGCCCACAGGAACTTGTTCTGCTCCCCGAGTCCTTTTACTTCTACAAGGCGAAGATTGAGCGTCGGTTTACCTTTTCTATGACTGCAGGTCAAGTATACAACGTTGAGCTACGTTCCTGGGCTACAGATGAAGAGGTTCTCTCCAAGATCGGCGGCACGATGTTCCAGGGAGCCTCACTTCGTTTCATGGAGCACGTGGATATTTCCGGGGCAATTCAGGACGCTGCCGACGCTGCGGAAGATTCTGATGTCGCCGTGGTCTTCGTAGGCACGACAAATGAGATGGAGTCAGAGGGCTACGACCGTGACACAATGGATCTCACCTCTGACCAGTATGACCTCATTTCTGCTGTTGTCGGTCGCAACCCCAAGACCGTGGTTGTCAACTTGTCTGGGTCTCCTGTCACTATATCACCTTTTATCAACCAAGTTCCCGGCTTCCTGCAAGCATGGTTTGCCGGTCAGGAATGTGGCCACGCCATAGCTCGGGTCCTGCTTGGCGATGTCAACCCTTCAGGACGTCTGCCGATGTCTTGGCCGCGGAAGAACGAAGACAATCCAGCTTATCCCAACTTCCCTTGCGATGACAATCTTGTTCTCAATTACGAGGAGCGTCTCAAGGTCGGTTATCGTTTTTATGACGACGAATCATCGCCAACGCCTGAGTTCCATTTCGGACAAGGTTTATCTTACACGACCTTCGCTCTACAAGGCGATCCCAAGTTCACGGCCTGCTTCGAGAGTGCGGAGCGCACAGAAGTGTCGCTATCAACCGAAGTTTGGAACACGGGTATTTTGGGCGGTAAGCAAGTGGTTCAAGTCTATGTCACACTTCCTGCTTGCGACGGCAATGATCGTCCTGTGAAGGAGCTTAAGGCTTTCCGAAAGGTCCTTGTACCCGCTGGGGAGTCAGAAACAGTCACATTCAAGCTTGACAAGTACGCATTCAGCTACTTCGACGCAGCAAGAGACATGTGGGTCATCCCAGACGGGGAATTTCTTGTCCATTTGGGATTTAGCTCTATCGAGCTACTCCAGACCTTGCGTGTTTCCAATGTCAAACGACATTCATGGACAGGGTTATAGACTTTACAGCTACTTGTTATCGCGTTATGCAGACCAACTCCATAGTGGAAAAGCAAATTCATCACCAGTTTCAAAACCGCCGTAACTGGGCAGTCCACCATCAAGACTCCAATCCCAATTTTCTTGAAATAATAACGTCATAAGCTCTCCCTGTACCGCTTGGTCTTCTACAGGAGGAGCAAAGTTGCTGCCCACGTCCGTGTCGTGTGTAGCTTCAAGACTGACGGACGGCCTACGGGAAACCATCCTCGACGCTTCTCTCGAATTTCTTGTTGCTGTAAATAAAGTGTCAGCACAATCTAATGACTTCATAAGCTCATGGGAATGGAGCTTACAGAAATGTGCGGAACGGGCCTGCTCCTTCAACTGAAGTAATTGACCCAGAAACCCTTCTGCCCGCTGGTTTTCTCTGCCAATAAGCCGTAGCAGCATAGTCGTGTTTTCCCACGTGGCATCCAGCTGGGCCTGGTTGAAGTGCTTGCTTCCTGCAGCTTGCGCACGTTCTGCAAGGATGATTATACCGCCACATGTCATGAGATCTGCAACGTTAGCTTACCCAGTGGGAGTATGCCAAGAGATTGGGGATCATACAAAATAAACTAAACCACCATGCACCAGTGGCGTCATCCTGTCTTGCAGACAACAAGGAAACTGACAACTCGTAACTAACTTTCGCGCATGTCGTAGCGCACTGAGACTGGAAAGCTATTTGTAACGTGTTAACTTCGGGACTGTCACATGTAGAACCAGGTTCCTCAACTGATCCCCGGCTCTGATATGCGATCCTTGCTGATGCGCAATAGGCACTGAAGCTAGGTCTGTACAGTAGAATCCTGAGATGGAGGAACCTGGCGTGAAGGACATTTCGCTGTCTCTTCAGAATATGATCTCGATCAGTGAGTATACGTTGCGGCTCCGAGTCACGATCCCACCATCTGAGAACATCAACCAGAGATGTCCTGAAGTCTTCAAGCATAGACTCCAAGCGTACAAGAGTACTGAAATCAGATGAAGAGCTCTGCCAGTAGATAGAAGATAAGATCTTGCCGAGGACTTTGGCCAGCCTTATGTTCTCTACCATAAACATATTTTGTGACGGGATACCTTCGGGTTGACTGCACGACGGAACCTCGCTGCGTATGAATTCATCGTCCACGGCGGACGGAATGAGGACATCGTCTGTCATCTCCAGGACAGGTCGTCTACCCAATGTCATACAGACTGTCATTTCCATCTGCAAACATCCATACCAGACTCTACGACGAATTTCATTCTCCAAATTTGATCGCCGATGGGCATTCTTCTCGGTGTGCAGACCTAATCCCACCGCGATCCGACAAGCCAACCCAACAATGTTGTAACACCGTATAGGGTGCTCGCTGGATATCGCAAACTGGGCGGCAAGAAGCAACGCCTGGACATGAGACAGATCACCTTTGTCCAGCACATCTATCTGCAGTAGACTTCTCATACGCGAACTGAACATTTCTGATGCCGACTCTTTGTGGGGTAAGTCGGAGAATTCACAACCGAGAGAAAACATGGCGTTCAGCGCGCTGAAGAAAGAGGATTCAGAGCAATGCCCGCCTCCTAAGCCTATGTCGCCGCTTTGGCTACTCTGGGGTCCTGGGTAACCGCTTGGTGACCATAACGATTCGTAACGCTCTCTAAAGCTTGTAGAGTGTGTCCAAGGGTAGAATATATGCACCTCGTTAAAATAAATATCGAGAATCTTATCCGCGACCTGCCGTGGCGGCAAGGCATAGTCGGCCAAATGTAGAGATGCTGCACCAAGTGTTTGGTTTTTGTCTCGATGTGGAACCGATCTTCGAGATTCGGGCTGAGATACCTCACGAAGCAACGAATGAACAGAGGATGGACCGAAAAGGTTATCCTCTTGAAAATCTTGGGACAGAGCCGGGGCTCCCATGACGCTAACAGGACTGGGTCCACCTGTTTCCGGCCCTGGGATTGAGACCCCTGCCCTACTGGCACCACCATGGGTAATACCCGAAGCAACGTAAGTACCAGTCGAGGGACTTGCAGATGCCCTGGTATGTGTATTCGCATTTATGCGGGAAGCAGCAGTCGTTGCCGCCTCTTGTCGAAGCTGATCTATGACCTGCTGCATTTCCGTTACTTGCTTTTGCAACGACGAAATGTACCTTGTCAGGAATTAGTTCTGCTCAATCCGAGGTTTATTCTCAATGGACATACTCCTGTTCACTTAATTGCTTCGCTGCGCCAGCAATAACAGTGTAGATACATTGAGCAGGAGGTTCTCCACGCTTGCTGCACGGGCTACAGATAGGCTTAGAGCCATCGCACTTGATCTTCCGTTCCCGACAATTGTCGCAGGCCAATGCAACTCTTTTGCGCTTTGTGGGACGCGTCGAGGTGGATACGGATATCGTGTCATCGGCGTCTTGCATCGATGGACCCGGGTCCGTAGACTGATCCGTCGCACCGGACGGCATACTGTAGCAATGAGTACCTGGATTGAGAATAAAAAACCTTTATCGGCAGGTGTGTGAGTGTTGGGGGGAAAAGACCCTTTTCACGGGTTGTACCCGTCTCAGCAATTAGGTTTGCCGGCTTTCGGCGCTAGATGACTCGGAAACTACCCGAAGCGAGGGACCCAGTCTACGAGGACTTCCGTCTTCTTTGAAGTTAACCGAGTCCAGTCCCGTGATTGATGAATTAATTTATGCTACAGCTTTCAATGCCAAATAATTAATGCTAAGAGCCGGCGTTTTCTAGCTGACATATTGTTTAACCCTCATTTTGCAGCACGATACCAGTTTTTTCTATTAGCTTTCATAATGCTGAAATCCCCATTTCGCCCTCTTTTACGGCATGCTCAGAGGCCGATGCCGTTAGCTGTCTCACGGCTTCCAATCACCCCTGTGAATAAGATCCACAGCAGTAAGAGGACACAACAGAGCGAGTCAAAAAGCCAAAGTCACCACAGGGAATCGCCCAGAAGACCTGTCTTGCTCGCTTCGGCGCTGTCGGCGACGGTGACTACTTTCGGCGGCGCTCTATTGTTGGTTTCTTTGGGCTATGGGAGTACAGTAGTGGAAGATGAATGCAAGTACGCAAACCGACGACAGATGGAATTAGTAAGCATAACTTGGTTAATCCATTTGGTCTTTTCATTAACATCTTCAGGCAGTGGAGGAAATCAGACAAGCTCTTGGGGAAGACGCCGTGAGCATCGAAGATGAGATACTTCATGCTCACGGCTACTCGGAGTGGTCCACGATTAATATCGATAGGCTGCCCGTTGCAGTCACTTTTCCTTCATCAACAGAAGAAGTAGCAGTAATCGCCAAGATATGCCACAAAAGACGTGTTCCCATGAGTATGTATACCATTATTGAGGGAGCTAATTTTGCTGACAGGATGATACAGTTCCTTATTCAGGTGGCTCAAGCGTTGAGGGCCATTTCTCAGCCCCATACGGTGGCGTCAGTGTTGACTTTGTGAACATGAACCAAATTTTGGAGGTACATGCCGACGAGTAAGTGCATTCTACGATCAACTGATCATAGGGTATGAATGTATATTAATTTAGGCTCCAGTTTGAACGTTGTCGTGCAGCCGTCTGTACCCTGGATGGATCTCAATGCGAAGATACAGGACACTGGTCTCTTCTTTCCAATTGACCCTGGCCCTTCGGTAAGACAATACCAGGAATTTCACAATTTAAGCAGCGCAGCTAATTTCATTGCTTAGGCACAAATTGGCGGCATGATTGGTACCAATTGCAGGTATGAAACCTCGCATTGCACTTTCACCCTACCCGAGACCAATCTGCTGACATGATCTAGTGGCACAAACGCAGTAAAATACGGGACTATGAAAGACTGGGTGGTAAACCTGACAGTCGTCCTGAGCGATGGTACTATTATGAAGACTCGTCGAAGGCCGCGCAAGTCGTCAGCTGGCTATAACCTCAATTCTTTATTCGTGGGATCCGAGGGCACCTTGGGGTTCGTCACTGAAGCTACGCTCAAACTTGCCCCAATCCCAGAGCGATCTGGAATTGCGGTATTGACATTCCCCACTGTCGGTGCAGCGGCCAGTATGGCAATTGAAGTCATCCGCCGTGGTGTCCCCATCAACGCGGTCGAGATTCTCGACGAGGTCCTTATGAACGTCATCAACAGGATGGGTGCCACTTCCAGAGAATGGGCCGAAGTCCCAACTTTATTCTTCAAATTCAGTGGCAGCGAGTTAGCAGTCAAGGACAGCATCGCTAGAGTGCAGGATATATCCAAAAATCACAACGTGCAGGACTTTCAGTTTGAAAGCGACCCGCACAAGCAAAAGGCCCTGTGGTTAGCACGCAAAGAAGCACTCTGGAGTATGATGGCGTTGAGAGAAACGGATGGACACGTGTGGTCCACTGATGTGGCTGTGCCTCTATCTCGAGTCGCAGAGCTCATAGGTATGTGACCTAGCGTTATTACAAGACGGTGGAAGCTAATCCGTTTCACAGATGTGTCCAAGAAAGATCTTTTGGGGCTTGGTCTATTCGGAAGCATATTAGGACACATTGGCGATGGTAATTTTCACGAAACAATTCTCTTCCAGAAACACCAGCACGACCAAGTTGAGCAGAGCGTGGATAGGATGGTCTTGAGGGCGCTTGAGATGGAGGGCACTTGCACAGTAAGCGTTTTCTCACTTATACGGAAGTTATTCGGCGTAAAAATACTAACAATGTCAGGGTGAGCACGGTATTGGTCTTGGAAAGAAGGAGTTCCTTAGAGAGGAGGTCGGTCAAGCGCCAATTGAGGTGATGAGGGCTATAAAATCCAGCTTGGACCCGTTTTGGCTCATGAACCCGGGCAAAATCTTTGACAGGAAATAAATGAAGCATAAAAACAACAAGAAAGTAATTTAAATCGTACATATTCTACATTCAGAATCATCGGCCAAAAAGTACAATACAGCATGTAAAAACAGCAGTTAGATACAGGCTCCGCGATCAATGCACAGGGTGAATGCGAATACGGAACTTCATGGGAGTAATTCTTCTCTTTCAATGCCTGGTGCAGGACATAAGCAGGAATTATTATATTGTCAGGGGTCCAGTCGCATTGTGACGCTGTGGGCAACTCCGATGGAACTTCATAATGGAAAGTGATAATAGTTTACTTGTTGTGAATAGCCGTTATGTGCAGTGCAGTTGTACTAAATCTGTTTATTCTCAGTCTATTTAGAAGCCTAGATGGCAACATCCAATACTGCCGAGACACCACGATCAAGGCTCTCCTTAGCCTTAGCCAACGCCGCCAAGAACTCCGACGAATCAGCCACCCTGGCCCCAAAGGTCTCTCCATTGCTCGCAGCCTTCGCAATCCCAGCATAATCCGGACTCGGCGCAAAGGAAATATTAAGCTCTTCCTTGGTAGCCCGTGATGCAGGGCCGTCAGGATGCACCAGCAGCATGGACCTCCGTGGAGCATTCCAGCCAAGGTTGTTAAGGACAATAGTCAGAATGGGGATCCCGTAGCGTGCAGAAATCCAGTATACGCTAGAGGGAACACTGAACATGTAGGACCCATCACCTACAACCTGTACTACATACCGCTTTTGCTTGCCGGAGACTAAGGCATCAGCTGCATCCGCAGCAAGCTTGACGCCTAATGCACCACCACCGCTCCAGCCGAGACCACCACCTCCACAGTGAACCCACTGCCCTGGTAGTGTTGCCCGGACCTGATCCGAGACGGAAATTGCATTTGTGATTGCCTCCACCGCCCAAATCGTGTCCTGTGGCAGTGTCTCACGTAGCGTAGCGCAGACGTAGTCTGTGGTGAGCTTTCCCGAGTTGGGGAGCTTGGCTCGTTGATCCAGGGTGTTAATACGCTCCTGGTATGACTTGACCAAGGCTTGAGCCCGTGAATCACAAGCTGCGCTTGACAGCTTCTCCGTGAGGTTGTTTTGAAGGTACTCAGTGATCTGCTTGAGCGCGATCTCAGCGTCGACACGATACCTCTGTTCAGCATCGATGTAAAAGACCAACATAGACTCCTTGAGGGGGTCGACGTCGAGGTGGAAAATCCTCGCTGAGCTCTTGGGTTTACATAGCTTGTTGATCCATGGAACATCACAATCGAGAATTAGGAATACGTCCGCATTCTCGATCGCGCCATCGACTCCATACTTCATGCCAAGCCATCCAGGGTGGTCTGCAGGGAAGCACATGTCTGAGCAGCCTGTATCAAGTACACGAAGACCCTTGATGGTATCGGCTAGGGACACAAGGGGCTTTACCGCTGCATGGTTGCGGCCAGTGAAGCCAACAATAACAAGTGGGTCTGAGGCATTTGCCAGTGCATCTGCGATCTCGCGAACAGCGTAGTCTGGGAGAGCAGATGGAGCAACGGGTCGCCAATAAGCTGAGTTCACAGAATACGGTTCGATGGTCTCCTCCATTACCTCGCGGGCTCCCATAAGATAGGCCGGCCCTTGAGGGTGGCTTGTGGCAAGCTGGATGGCACGTCGAACCATTTGCTTGACATTCTTGCCAGTTTTGATCTCTCCAGTATACCTGCAGTACTGGGAAACAATCTGCTTTTGATCTGGGACATCTTGGATCCAGTGACTTTCAAGACATGCATATTAGATATGACCATCAAGAGTAGTAAAGACGAAGTGACTTACATGAACTCGGTTCGTGAGCCAAGAACCTCTCCCTCTATAGTGTAGGGGGAGAGACCGGCAAAGATAAGAACGGGGGCTCGTCCCATAGCCGCATTATGAATCGCGGCCGCTAGAGCCGATGTGCCAACATCGACATGCACGATGACACACTGGGCTTCGCCGCTCACTCTCGCATAACCGTCGGCCATAGATAGAGCCACCATCTCGTTGGGGCACGTGATGATTTTCGGGAACGTATCAGGCATTTCCCTTTGGCCCTTAACCATAGCCTCCAGAATACTGGGGTGGTCCGAACCCAAGTTAACGAAGCAATTCTTGACCCCGGCCTCAACCAGGGCCTCGAAAAAGGCGAACGATGTTGTGTACCTGGCACTCGATGTTAGTGGCTAACGTTAATCTAGGGTTTGGAATGCTGGGTGAGTTTACATGGTATGCTCCGCGTTGAAAACAAGATTGGTGTGCGTGTGTCTGTCGAAACAAGATGTTGAACTGTACGATTTCGCTGTGATTTATGGTAAGTGTCAATTGATACAAATCGTCGCTGTATTCGCGCTATTTCCTCCATGTGGATTGTCCCGGGAATGACCCGAAGAGGAGATACCTGCGACGGTTATTACCCGTGTGCTCGGAAGCTAAGCCGGCAGTAAGTCGGCAAATGGACAACGCAGTTCGGCAATGAATAAAATACGACAATTGCTTGTTTCAGTATTAAGGAGTATGTCTAGATCGAATCTTTTATAAATTTTGAAAATTTAATAAATACTTTTTAATTAAATATTAATTTAACAATAGTTATTAAAAACATTTATATATTTATTGTATTAACTATATAGAATTTAACTAAACACATCTCCTTCTATTAATCTACAGCTTAACGTAGTGTATTCAAGGATGCTTATAAAGGCACGCTTAACAGAATGAGATATCGATGTTTACGAGTTGTAAACATAATGCTAACCTAATTCAATACTTACGCCTGACCCTGTCCACCTGATGACGATGGCCAATGGTCTCAGTGGTGAGCGCCCATCTACTTCCCAGGAAGTGTTTATCCCCGCCCCCATACCCCGCAATGTTTAATCTGGGGCTAACCTGCTCCTCTGGTAGCTTCGATAGTTATCAGGTCATGGAGAGTTTACTGGTGGCGCCTCGACTGAGGGAGAGAGTTCAAGGTCGAGAACCTGGCCGCTAAGACACCGATCACCTATATAAGACGCCGGCTTCCACTACCCTGTCTACAAGAACACTCTATAGCCAAGGACACAACAACACATTTACTTGGATCCCATTCTCTTTCCAAACATGTCTGATCCTACCGAGAAGACTACAATGGAGCACAGGTCCCTCAAGGGCGCTGAGTCTGCCATAGACTTACCTGCCGAGGATTCTGAAGCTACCAGGAAGCTGCTGCGGAAATGCGACCTCCATTTGCTCCCCCCGCTAATGGTTATCTACTTTCTCTCCTTCATGGACAGGACCAATATTGGTATGTGGAACTATCTCAATCAGCGTTTTGAGAACAACCGAGCTAATGAAGACATTGCCATTGTTAGGCAATGCAAAGATCCAGGGAATGACAGAGACTCTCCACATGACTGGAAACGATTACAACATGGCTTTGTTTGTCTTTTTTATCCCGGTACGTTGACTACAATAACGCCGGCCTATACGAGGCTTGACTGACAGTGCTCATGATGTAGTACATCCTCTTCGAGGTCCCATCGAATATAATCATCAAGAAAATATCTCCATCTCTTTGGCTTGCTTCTATCACTGTTCTATGGGGCATCTCTACGGTTGGCATGGGGCTTGTCAAGAACGTGGAGGGACTCATTGCCTGCCGAGTTCTGCTGGGATTCTTTGAGGCCGGCATCGTTCCAGGTACAATTTCCTAGTTTGACACACGAGAAAGACTCAGCTGACATCAACCACAGGTTGTATTTACTTGATCGGCATGTACTACAAGCGCTACGAGGTTCAGTGGCGCATGTCACTCTTCTTCAGCGCTAGTATCCTGGCAGGCGCCTTCTCTGGTCTCCTCGCATTTGCTATTGCTAAAATGCATGATGTCGGAGGGCTTGAAGCCTGGCGTTGGTACGTCCCCCTTTGTACAAGTACGATAATCCTTGCCAACATTGGGAATAGGATCTTTATCCTCGAAGGCCTCCTCACTGTTGTCGTCGGTGTTGCTGCAAAATGGTGGATTCCTGACTGGCCCGAAACGGCCAGCTTTCTCACTGAGGAAGAGAGAGCCAGACTCGTGGAGCGATTGGCTGTTGATTCCGGCGATGCCAAGATGGATCACCTGAACAAGGCAGCTTGGAGAAGAATCATGTCTGATTGGAAGATCTACCTTGGTACGCTTGCATACTTTGGCATCTTGAACAACGGCTACGCTGGTTCGGTAAGTTTTGGTACCAATGTCATGGGATGGCAGAAACATGATGCTGATTCTTCATTTGCAGTTCTTTATCCCCACCATCCTTCGGGAGATGGGTTATGCCGCAGAGCGTGCCCAGGTTCTGACGATCCCGGTATACGTCGTCGCAACTATCGGCTGCTTGTCCGCGGCATACCTCGCGGATCGCCTTCGTCACCGCTATACCTTCACCATAGTGGGTGCTCTGGTCACGACCGTTGGCTACGTCCTCCTTCTCTTGCAGCAGAACGTCCCGACCGCAGCACGATACTTCTCCCTTTTCATGCTGGTGACTGGCGGATATATTACACAGCCTGTGCTTCTTGGCTGGTTGTCAAACACCATGAGTGGCCATTACAAGCGTTCAATCTCGTCCGCTATCCAGATCGGAATTGGTAACGTTGGAGGTATCCTAGCTTCAAATGTCTTTTTGGCTGAGGAAGCTCCTGAATACTGGACGGGCTTGGGTGTTAGTCTCGGCATGGTTTGGCTATGCGGTATCAGCTGCACTATCTTTTATTTCCTTGCTATCCGAGAGAACAAGAAGAGAGACCGGGGTGAGCGGAATCATAGACTTCAAGAGTCTGATGCGATGAATCTGGGTGATGATCACCCTCACTGGCGATATACTACTTAAGATAGATCTTAGAAGTATATCATGGAATACCTGATAATAGGATCTCCATCTTGAAATACACTTTTCAATCAGGACTCCAATGCTCATCGAACAACTCTTTTTTCTTTTATTATGATCTTGCACTAATAATACAAGGGTTTGGCTGGGCATAAAATGCGCTTTTCACTTGTTTCCATCCGGCTTTTGGTCTGCCTTCCACTAACGTCAAGACATCATACAGTCATAAAGGACCGAGGAGGAAGAAGTAATGTCATTCCTTCGTTGCTCAAGTTGGAAGGGGGAAGTCGGTCGGTAGCTAGTCGTTATTTCATAATAAAAAATAAACTTTGATATCATTGGATACAGTATTGTATTCCCTAATAATGATGCTTTCTTAGTAGCTGAACTCAGGAAAATTATTGAACGACTCTGCGGATATCGACGAGGAGATTTCCATTTGCCCAAGCCTCATTAGCACCACGGACCTTTCCGTCACCACGAGAGCACTTGTCCATAATGAACCCAGCACCACGGGCCACCTCCTGACTAAAGAGGAAGTTAATACCAGGTTTATAACAACGTAAAAGAGGTAGACTTACCAAGTAGAGGTTGCAGTGTTACCATTGCGAGCAAGGCCGGTGATCTGCGTGTTACCCCGTCTGCAGAATGATTGGCCGGAGACTGTAGCAACGCAAGGTTGGCTGCCTAGGCTGGCCAGGTAGTTGATGCATGCGACGGCTTCGTTAACCTATTCACGTTAAGTCAGTGTTAAGAACGCCGTAATAGTGAAAGGATGGGACGGACGTTGGCCAGTTCACTTGCTGGACGATCATCTCTGCAGGTCACCTTGCGCTTCTCAAGGGCGCTAGGGACAGCAACGACTGCGGAAGCAGCGGAGAGAAGAAGAGTGACTGAAGCGACGAAGTTGACCATGGTGGCGGTGAGATGGACTGGTTGACTTGGGATGAAGGTAGACAGGAACAAGAGAAGACTTTTTCGTTGGATGAGCGCCCTTTTATGTTTTAATACTCAGGACATCCATGCTTGAAGGATTCATTTGCATATAGCCTGCGTTCACTCTACATATCCTATTCGACTTCTGCTTACGTTAGAGTGGGCTATATACGACTGGAACCCATGCATTAGTTCAGGCTAGATTTATTTTGCGAGAGGCTCAGACGTAACAGGGGAGAGTCACACTGGGGGCTAAACCTTCGATCCGGCGGCCGACCCAGTATAACATGGGGCGACGGATGAATTGCCATCTGGAGCATCAACCGACAATAATAAAATAAACTGAATGTCGCTCTTAACTATCATAAAGTGTTTTTGTTATTTCATACTATACCTTCTTCACTGTTTATTTTTTCCGATGATGGCTACAGAAAGAAAAACGCAGTAGCAAAAACCCTGTAAATCTCGTGTTCTCGGACTTTTCCTCTCGGACTTTTTTGTTTACACCGCCGAGTGACCCGGGGCTCAGACATACATGGGACCGTGGTCAAAGCCTTGGCGGTGCGGATCTTTCCGTCTTGGTAAGGTGGTAAAATGCGGCACATTGAAGGGATTGCGGATCGAACAACAACGAATAAGAGACGGCTATGTTGTCACAAAAAAAGACCGACTCTTCTCTACAGTCAACACTGTTCCTGCAAAGTTTAGCCTGCACCTCCGGCTAATCCTCCACATCTCTGGCCCACGACTCCCATTCATAAGCAGCCAGCATGAAAGGTCCGACACCGTTCTGTCCGTTCTCTAGGGTTGGCTGTGCTACGTAATACTAGAAGGAGTTAGTTCATTGTCTTCTCATCGTCATGGTACTCACCTCGAATGTTACGTTGGAACTGAGTAATCCGCATTCAGCGACCGTGCCATTGAGAACAACAGACCCTCCATCACGTTCTTCGAAAAAGTTATCGATAATACTAGAGAACGCATCTCTTGCCATAGCAAGATATTCGTCCCGGTCGAGGAACCCCAGGTCAATGCTCTTCAGCAGACCCCAAATGAACATAGATGAGCCACTGCTCTCAATAAAGTTTCCCTCACGTTGGGGATATGGTTCATTCATAACCTGCCACCAGCTACCAGACGCTGAATCACGAGACTCTTTGAGTCCAAGCGCGACTGACTCAAGATATCCATGTAATTGATCATAACCGGCATGGCTTGTGGGAAAGAATTGTAAGACTTCAACGAGGGACATGAAATACCAGCCGAGAGCACGGCCCCAGACGTTGGGTGCGCGACCAGTTTCTGGATCAGCCCATGCAGCTGTACCGTCGACCCAGCCGTGGACATGGAGACCTGTCGTTTCGTTGACCGTGTTCTCGTGGATAAGCTCGTACTGGAGCAAGATGTCGTCCCAGGCCGTGTCATTGTCACGGTCATAGAGATGGGTCCACTTGGCGTAGAATGTGTCTGCCATGTAGATACCATCTAGCCACATCTGGTTGCGGAAGAACTGTTGATGCCTGGAATATCTGTCAACAAGAAAACGACAGTATTGGATAGCCGATAACCTACCAAAAGCCACCCTGCGGCGAGCGGGGATACTTGTCAAGCATGCGTCTGATAGTATTTGCCGCAGTCCTATACTTTGTTTGCCCCGTCTGGTTGTACAGGTAGAGATAGTTGTGTCCCATCCTGTACTCATCAAGGATGTACTTGGATGTGTTCAGACCTTTGATGGTGCCGTTCTCCAGAACAACAGGACCAGCAATTTGTCCAATGTACCAGTCCAGATACTTCTCGTCTCCAGAAAGCTCATAAGCCTTCTCGAAACCCAGGTAGAGAACTGCATCCTGGTATCCACGGTCTGGGGCGATACCTTTGGCAATGATCGTGTTTGCCATTCGGGTCAAATATGAAGACTCAGTTTGAGCAAACGCGATGCTTGAAAGCAACGCTATTGCAATGAGGGTTATGTTGGTAGCCTGTAACAGACAATACATGATAGCGACAGCTCGTGGTCAGTCTTCTCAGTTTACAAAGTCAAGGCTTATCAGTGATGCGTGCCAGAAACATTGTGTTTATATATCCATACCCGAGGTGATATGCTGGTACGATGTCGCCTTAGCAAAGGTCATATTACCTATAAACGACGAATGGGGTGCAACCTCGCGCCTTGTGATATATCGCGTTTCAAAAAGCCTTAATTCCAATGCCTTGTTTGGTCACCAATGAGGGGAGATGGTGTGCACCTGTGTCGCATTGAGTTTTTAAGTCCTCCAATAAATAGCAAGGGCCCTAAGTGGCATGTTGTGTCGATCTACTGAAATGATATGATAGGATGAATAAACCCGTTTGTGCTGCGCTGGATGGTTACTTTAATCTCCTAGTCGAGCGGGCGAGAGACATTCGCGCCACTACCTGACTTTTTTTATGCAGGTCAGGTCAGGCGATGAAGGGTCATGCCATCCACATTGTTTCTTGCTTTGCTTCTTTTTTTCCCCTTACTTCCCTTCTCTTATGGTTTATTCTAGATTGGTAGTATAATTAATGCTATAGGGTCGAGCCATGATGACGTCGAGTCAACATGCGGGGAAACCTTCCTCTTTCGTATGTACATCCTCACCCAGCGAAAGCGTCTCAGCATAGAAAATAGGAACAGTCACTTTCTTCTTACCATAGTAAGGGCAACTACGCGCCTCAGCAAAACAAGAGAAAATGCTTGTAATTTCCGAGCCTCAAATGCGACAGTTGCTCAATCGTTTAACAGCAACAAAATGCCGCCATATGATCGACGAACTGTCTAGCGGCTTACGAACCTTTACTGGCGAGCATCGACTTCCCCTTCCACAGCGGACGATTCATCAGCCTATGCGAACGCATTTTACTAATCAAAGCGGCGACCGCAACCTATTTATGCCTTCAACAGATGGCATTCTCTCCACTATCAAGCTATTGACCGTTCCGGGAAATGGTGACCCCGCTCGGGGTCTTGTGGTGGTATCCAAGGCAGACGGACGCCCTTTGGGATTGATCAGCGCTGGGCCTCTCACAGCGTTTCGCACAGCTCTGGCGACGATGACTATGTTTGTACGTTCTCCATTGCCAAAGGAGAATATCACGATCTTTGGTGCTGGGCCAGTTGCTGCATGGCATGGTCGCCTGGCAGTACTGCTATACCCAGACGAGGTTAAACGTGTGACATTCGTTGGCCGGAATCCTTCCCGTCTACGGCGCTTCACGCGATCTGCTACATATGGGCTGCAGCAGTTATCCTCGAATGTATCAGTGGACTCTTTATCACACAATGACCCTGAGCTGTACCCCAATAAGCTACAGCAGCTTGTCTCCACATCAGATGCCCTATTCTGCTGCACGCCATCGACCGAACCGCTATTCCCGCATCGATATTTGCAAGCAGAAGAGTGTGATCAAGAATCTAAGCAAAGGTTTATTTCGCTCGTGGGCTCACACAAGCCTGACATGCAGGAAGTTGAAAGCGAAACACTACTTTCTGGTGGTGGAAAGGTCTATGTCGATACTAAAGAGGGATGCCTAGCTGAGGCTGGAGAGATCGTCAAAGCCAAGCTGGAAGAGGGAGATCTGACTGAAATTGGCGAGGTGTTCCAGCCAGGGGCAAATATCGATGTAGAGAAGCACTGTAACATTGTCTACAAGAGTGTAGGATTTGGACTGATGGATCTGATTGTTGGAAAGTCGTTACTGGATGCAGCTAAGGAAGAGGGCCTAGGAACAAGAGTTAAAGGGTTTTAATTGGCAGGGTTTCTGTCATAGAAGTTTAATCTCTCTTCTAAGAATTAAGTCACATGTCGGCAAAATAGCAGTATTATATCATAAGTAATATTAAACTTGTTAAGCTAGCTCCATAAAGTAAATACCAGGTAAGCGAAAACGCATTTCATAGCGTGGGCATTCGTGCAAAATATCTCAAAGGGCATCAACCAGTGTCATTCAGGCTTAGACCTTGGTAGGGGCGACCTCATGGATCTGTTGTCCCTCAGAGGAAACGTGGTCGTTCTCCTCGTGAAGAGCCTCCTTCTCAACCTTGTCCATGGAGACGTGGCCGACAGCGGCGTTGTCGCCGTCAATAACCTTGGCGACCTCCTCGAGAGTAGGGCCACGGGTCTCGACGTACATGAAGTAGATGAAGCAGACCTCACCGAAAACCCAGATGCTGTAGATGAGGTAAAGTCTCCAGGTGTTACCACCAGTGAGCGAATCGGATCCCCAGGCGTCAAAGGCCAGAGGGTTGAGGTAGTTGTTCAGCAGGAGAGCGATTTGCACAGAGATGTTGAGGAGCATAAGACCCTTGGCACGGAGAGAGTAGGGGAGAATCTCAACAGCGTAACCAATCAGGAGACCAGACCAGCAAGTAGAGTAAAAGACACCGTGGAGCCAGACGAGGAAGATCATGGCGTTGTTGGCTCCAGGGGCTTGGTGCTGCTCGTAAAGACCGCAGGTGAGAGTCCAGAAGACGAGGACAACGAACATACCACCGGTGGCGAAGAGGAAGGAGAAGCGACGGTTGAGGCGGTCAACAAACATGGCGCATCCAATCGAGACAATCATATCGAGAATGGTCTTTCCAGCGGTGATAATAAGACGGTCCTGCTCACTCTCGAGACCAGCGTTTTGGTAGAGGACAGCAGAGTAGTTGGAGACAACACCGTTTCCGGACCATTGGGAGAAGAGACCAAGAGAGAAGAGAACGACGAGGCGGTATCGGTTACCCTTGGTCTTGAAGAAGTCCGCGTAAGTGGAGGTGTTGGCGGCGAGCTGCTCAGCCTTGATGGTTTCACGGATCTCGCGGTACTCGAACTGAACGGTGGGGTGGTTGGTATCGCCGTTGGCGTGGTACTTGCCGAGGATAGCCAAGGCTTCGTCATGACGGTCCTTGGCGATGAGGAATCGAGGAGACTCGGGAATCCCTAGTAAATCTGTTAGTGCATATCTCCTTGTGGTCATCTTAAATATCTACTTACAGAAGAGGACGATGAGCTGAAGAAGACCAGGAGCACCCTGGAGGATAGCAGGGAATCGCCATGACCAGTTGTTGCCCCAGAAAGAGGTACCGAAACAGGTCCAAGAAACGAGGAAGGAACCCAAGTTCCACAGACAGTTGTAGACTGTGGTGAAACGGGCACGGTGCTGAGGGTGGCAAAGCTCGGCGAGAAGCATAGGCGAAGCGATCTGAGCGAAAGAGTTTCCGAAACCAAGGAGAACACGACCACCAGAGAAGACAGCGTAGTTGGAAGCACCAGCCTGAAGACCAGCGCCAATAGCCATGATGATGAAACCGAGACCGATAGAGGGGCGACGACCCCAGCGATCGGTGATGAGGGGAACGAGAGGGATAGAAGCGACGGATCCAATTTGGTAGAGAGCAATGAGGAGACCGAGTCTGCTACCCTTAGGGTCGTCGAAGAAGTTCTTCCAGCTGTCGAAGTTCTGAACATTGTTCATGTACATACTAGTCATGAATGTCAGCATTCATCTTTCACAAACAGCATGCAGAAATAAGCTTACCCATCCCAACCAGTTCCCATAGAAGAAGCGCAGAGAACGCATGCGTAGAAGCACAGCTTCCTCAGACCAGGCTCCTTGTACCAAGTAACATGCTCAAACTTGGGAGCTTCATCACGAAGCCTCTGGGTCTTCTCGTCGGCGCCAAGGCCAATGATCTCCTTGATACCCATGATGATGATTTGCTCAATCAATCAAAGTAAAGAATAAATTGTTGTTTGTAGTGAGGGATGAGGAGAAGGAAAAAAAAGAGTGGGTGAAGTCTGGGGCGGGCATCCCTGGATAGATATAGTAGAAAAAACGCGTGGTAGGCCTGTAAGTAAAAAGTCGAGAACAGTCAAAAGAGGAACGGACGTGCGGACCGGATTTCAGACCCCAGATTATGGGGAGGGGAGGAGGGTGTAACCGAGCAGGCAAAAGACAACGATCGAATCACCAAATGAACGTCGTCCGCTTAACGGGTCCCACTCCCTTGAATGTTCGGAATGGGCGATCTTGTTCCACCTTGGCTGTCTTGGAAGTCTTGGTAGTCATGAGTCTTAGCCAAGATGGAGGTCGGGCCGCGGTCTATTGACAGGGCTATGGGGAAAACAGGGGTGCAGCTGGGGAAAAGATGCATAGAATCAGATTCTGGCCTCTCTACTCCGTAAAAAGACAACTGATGTTGGCCTGTCGATATACGGTAGACTCCGTAGGTGAGCCAAAATAATGGGGCTCTGCCGATTCACCCCTTGGAGGCAGTATTCCCGCCATTAGCCTGATACGGTTGCCCTACCAAGTTGGGAACAAGGCTCGAATCGAAAAGGGGGTTTGTTTAGTCATTACCCGATTTCTCATTTCGCCACGACGTTTCACCCAGGAACACCATGTTAATTATCGTCCCGTTTACTCTGATCTGAGTTCACATCTGATGCCCTGATCTGATCTGTAGCTATAGTACCATGCATCAATTTCAGGTAAGCTGATCAAGGATCTAGACGCTGTCTACTGTACCATGTAAATTCTATTCTCCTTGTCGCTAGACTCTTGGAATGGCCACCCCAATGCTGTGCCTCTACCTTTGCCTTCTTCCAAGACAAAGTCATGATGCAATGATTCAGCCCTTCCCTATCATGAAGCACCTCGAGATGAAGAAGGACTGCGGAATAAAGTCCCGCGGCCGTGCTGAATCCTCAACTCGGAACATTCTCCAGTCTTGGCCTAGAGTGGATTTTGGCTAAATGCGGGTAAATGCGGGTAAAATACAACTCTATATGAATGCCAAGCATGCGCCAATAATTTTCTTACTCTTGGCTCCTTCACACGATCTGTTCATGTCGTTGCCGTTCTCTACCGTTGAAGCAAAGGCTGAACATACGAAAACCCGAGTTCACGGAATCTCCCTCATGGAAATGGAGACTTATCCCATGGTATTTCGGCACGTGGACGGAATATAACCCGCTACGGAGGATCCAGCAATCAGCTCAGACACTTTCAAGGACTGACGCGGTGGGGTCACTTGATTAATCCCAGCGAGAGCCAAGGAGGTTTATATGGAGACGACAGAACTTTTGACCAACTCTCATCGGCTGGCAAACACAGTCCAAGCACTTGGCACTTTGGCGACTTTATCGACCCAGAATTTACCTCCACTTAACAAGACTTGACCTGAGCTTGGTACAAGGGATCAGGAACCGAGGGCCGAAATCCCCATGGGCTCGAAGAGTCTGCCCCATAGTCTGAAGACTTTCTCCCCATGGGCGCGGAAATCCTCCAGTTTTTTTATTTAATTTTAGTGCCAACATGACCGATGGAATCGGCCGAACTCGGTTCATATCATGGCATGGGGAACAGCTGGACCCGACAGTGGGAAAGTGGTATAGGTTAATCGGGCCATTTTATTACTCATTGCTGATCTGTTGAAGGACACGAAAAACCTTTACTGTCACGGTACCATCGCGATGGGCTTTTTAACCTGGTATTTTTACACCAATCATTTCTGCCTAGCTGGGGTGTCTGTGTATGAATAAGCGACCAACACAGGGTAAATGACATTTTCGCAACGTCTAGCAATTGATTTGCGATAACCAGTATTTCGTAGTTGAGTTGATGCATTCGTAAAACGACGAACGAATTAAGTTTCCCACGACAGCATTAGTTCTTGCGGCTCTGTGCATGGGTGGTCGGCATTCGCTCAATTAAAAATAAGATTCAGCCTAATATCTAATTGACAAATCCAGTATTCTTAGATGTCAATTGCCAACTTCGTGTTTTGAGCCTAGGGTAGGTCAGCCCAGCAATCTTGCCCAACCACCGGTTCTATCAATTTGTCACCGCTACCTTGGCTCTTAAACTCTAGACATAAACGCGATGGTGGTGTGATGCTGTGCAACATATAATTTTCTAGCAGGCGAGGGCCGTCGGTGTGTGGCGATACCGAAGCGCCTTGGTCTTGGCCTCGGTGATCATGATTCCCACCCTTACGGTTCACATATATCCAGGGCTTCACCTTGCCAGCGTGGCTGGGTCCCGATTGCACCAATGCATAAGTGACACAGCCAAGTACATGCATGTGCTGGTGGGTTGAGACAAGTTTTATACACTTGGCGTGGAGAAAACGTTGCCACTACAGGAGATCTGGGGATCATAACCCACTCAGATTGTCACCAAGAATAAGAAAGTAAGTTCAATAACGGTTAAATGTCCTGCATGCTCTTAATGGCTAGGCTTTTACCCTGGGCGACGCATCCTCCGGAAGAAACCGACTTCTGGGCATTTTCTCTTTCGCATGCTGCATGAATGCAAGACAAGACAACCGCTCATCAATCGTTCCGCTTGGTCCAGGCACTGAGTCCCTCGAGAAACCTTGTATGGACATCGGCGTCTCCAGTCTTGTCCAGCACTTCCTGAAATTCTTTATCACCCAAGCACTGGAAAAAAAGCAAAATGCCACCCCAGATAAAATCCGTGTAACTAACAGTATCACCCAAAAAGTAAGGCCCAGAGCTATTTTCCTTAAGCAATTCTGTAATCTCCCGGGCGAAAGGCTCCGCTCTGTCCAGAGCACCGGGTGAGTTTTTCTCTCCGTATTCATACAGCGGCATGCCAACGTCTTCTTGTCGCGTGGCGAGGAAAAAGTCAATGCTCTTGTCGCCAAGAATGTTCTTAGCCACTCCAGGGACGTAAATGGGTGTCATCTGCGTCATGAACTTCACCATCGATGCCCTAAGACGCGACTGCATTGGGTCATTGAGATGAACGCTGGGCTTAGGGTATTTGGCCTCGATGAAGTCGACGATTTTGTAAGAGTCCATTACGTAGGTGCCGTCGGGCATCTGGATGGCTGGGAGCGTGAACTCGGGTTCTTGTTCATTAGGTGAGACACTAGAAACGCGTCAGTCATTAAAAGGTTTATCTTGATTGAGCTGGACTTGTCTTACTGTCCGCTTAGTCGCTCCTTGATTTGAGGATACTCTAGCTACATGAATCAATTAGTACGTAGTGATAACTGTTTCTTTTGTTTGCTTGACGTACCCATTCAGTCTTGTATTCCAGACCCTTAAAGTTGAGAAGCAAACGCGCTGAGACGCGTCAGTATCCACATTCCATTCCTCGAGCGATTGGCTGCAACTAACTTCTCCAGATATTCATCGACCAACAAACCTGGGGCGGCTTGGTGGGGATGTCGAATAAGGTTATTGTGTCAGAAGACATAGTTTTCGGGCCTTTTTCTTATTGTGTTTAATGAATCTGGATCAAGTGATTCAGTCTCGGTCGGACAACTGCGACAGGAACTGCAGTAGCAGGATATTAATAGTAACTTGGCAGTATGGCCTGATTAATCAGCAGTCTGAATGCAAGCCAATTGTCTTGTGGGATTCTATCTTTCCCCTCACTGTATCGATAAGACTTGGATCCTTCAACGTCTAAAACGGCAGGTGAACTTGGGGATCCACATGTAAGACTGGACCACAGTATTGGGCAGTGTCTGGAGTCACAAGGTTGGTATCTATATCCGTTGACTGATTCATCGGTATTATCGAGATATTGAGACTCGATATATTATCCCATTTAATACGAACATGGCAGGATTAGCTGGTGCACTATCTTACTGCTCCTCATTGATGGACCAGCAAGATGTGGGTACTACGAAGCCAATTAAAGAGACTCCATCTCGGAACAGGAGTGGTCTTAGGGCTAAGAAGACTTAGGTCCGAGTCCTTGGAAGAGCCAGGTAATATGGTAGTCAGTTGTATAGTAAACGTACAGCTCTTTCGTAGATATACCATGACACCCCGCATCTGTTAAATATCTGGGGTGAGTATCTCCTCTACTCTCAGTAATCCGACCCCGCATCACTCTTCATCATTCATCATCATGTCGGCCTCTAAACCCGAACGAATCATTAAGGTCGGCATCATCGGCTGCGGCGAGATTTCCCAAGTCGTTCATATTCCAACTCTTTCTTACATGAGCGACTGGTTCACCATCACTTACCTCTGTGATATCTCAGCCAATGCCCTACAGCACTGCGCTTCAAAAGTCAACAATGCCGTGGAAACAACAAAAGATGCTGCCGAACTCTGCGCCTCACCTCAGGCCGACGCTGTAGTCATAGCCAATGCAAACGAATATCATGTTCCTCACGCTATATTAGCTCTTCAGAATGACAAGCATGTTCTTGTCGAGAAACCTTTGGCGTTCACTATGAAGGATGCGCTGGCTGTCGAGGCTGCAGAGGAGTCGAGTCAAGGAAAGCTCATGGTTGGATATATGAGACGCTATGCTGCACCATTTGAGGATGCGGTGCGTGAGATTGGTGGAATGGACAAGATACTCTACGCTCGCGTGCGAGGTCAGTATATCAGAACATTGGAAAGAGTGGAATACTAATGAGAGGTGTCAGACATCATCGGTCCTAATTCATACATGGTTGATCAATCTGGAACGTACCCGAAGAAGTTCACAGACTTCTCTGACGCAGATAATCAGGACAGGGAAGTGAAAAATGAAGAGGCGATGAGGATAGCTCTACAGGATGAATGTGGTGGTATTCCTGTAACACCGGAGACAACTCGTATGTGGCGTCTCTTTGGTCTCCTTGGATCTCATGACCTCTCTTTGATGAGAGAAGTCCTTGGAATGCCTGAAAAAGTAGTTGGAACCTCGCTAGGGTTTCCTTTCTGGAAGTAAGTTAATCCTACCTTCAGTGCTCAGGATACAAGCTGACCCAGTGACCAGTGTTTTGTTCAAGTACGAGAACTTCACAGTCTCATACGAGTCTGGCTTACACAACATTCCACAGTTCGACGCTCACTTAGAAGTTTATAGTGCGAACAAGACTGTCAGGCTACAGTACGATACCCCATATATTAAAGGCCTCCCCGTTACAATGCATGTAACAGAGAATGCCGATGGAGTCTTGAAGGAGACAACCATCCGAAAATCGTTTGAGGATCCCTATACTCTCGAAATGAAGGCTTTGTGGGAAATGGCTGCGGAAGGGAAGCAGGCCAAGACGACGGTGCAAGATGCTATGCAAGATCTGGAGCTTTATCTCATGGCGATGCGCTATGAGCATGGCATCAAATGATAGTATGATTCTCTCATATTCATTCATAGTCTATCTACTCTTCAGAAAAGAGCTTCTTTATTTCATCCGTTGTAGTATTGCCTCCACTCAATACAATGCCCAGGTTCCAAATACCACCGTTTGCCTCTTTCTCAACCATAGATCGGAACTCTTCGTTGAATAAAACCACAGCAAGGGGTACGGCAGCGCTGGGCTCCACAAAGAGCTTCATTCTCTCCAGGATCAACTTCATAGCCGCCTTAATCTCTTCCTCCGACACGCTGTACATACCTTGGACAAGCTTCCGTTCGTAGAGAATTCCCCAAGGATGAACACCAAGGTAAGAGCGTAGCCCGTCCGCGATCGACATACTGTCTACGTAGGTTATCCTCTCTCCCTTTTCGATTCCACGCTTGGCATCATCTGCGCCCTGGAATGACGGTTCAGCTCCGAAGACTTTGATCCCTGTGTTTTCGCAGCTGAGTGCTACACCTGATAGCATTCCACCGCCGCTGCAAGGTGTGATAATGCCGTCTAGGTCTTTGACCTGTTCCTGCAGTTCAAGACCCATAGTGCCTTGTCCTAGGATAATATCTGGGTGATCATAGGGCGGCACAAGTCGTGCCCCGGTTTCGGCCACGACCTTCTCAGCCACAGCGAGGCGGTCTGTCAAAGTACTGAAGATGACATTCGCGCCATAGCCTTTGGTAGCAGCGACTTTACTGGGGATCGTGATTGAAGGCATCACGACATGAGCAGGCATGCCGTTTTCTCGAGCTGCCAGAGCAAGCGCTTGTGCATGGTTGCCTAGTATCGATAGAGTGAGCATTGGGACTTTCGAAACCAATGAGCAAAATACACACCTGAGCTGTGGGTAGCAACACCCTTCTCTTTGCCACCACCTTCTGCCCACCCGGGCTCCAACTTGAGTCTTTCAATGGCGTGGAAAGCCCCTCTTGCTTTGAAGGCACCTGCACGCTGAAAGTTCTCACACTTGAAGTGCAGTTTGAACTGAGGGTTAGCTGACTGCGAAGGGACATCTTGGCCATCAAAAAGGGCGACATCTCTCGGAGTCGAGGCCAGTTTATCGATAAAGCTGCTTGTCACCACTGGAGTCCGATGAATCTGAGACTCGATTAGACGATGCGCCTCGACAACGGAGTCCCGTGTCAGAGGAAGGCATGTTGAGATGTCAGCCATGATGTGAACTTCAGACTCAGGAACTAGCGGCAGAATATTGGGACAGGAAGATGAGGGTAGAATAGAATGCCTAAATCATTTATTTAAGTCCAGATCTTATTAAACATGAGTCACGGGGTCAATCTTATGCCAAGCTCATGGATGATGATCCTTATCGCTCCGAAGGCGGAAGCTGACTTGGGTCTGCTATTCCGTAAGAAGAAGGTATTTGGCAGCCTGATCATGACATGCATTGAAGAAGCAAATTCCGATTCACAAGTCTTCTTGTAACAGTAGGACCGTGCAAAATGGATAATTGTCATTTACGAACACGAGTTTTACAACTGAATCAGCACGATAATAAATCCACAAAATGATTGGCCGTGCAATGAGGGGTTGTTTGCTAGTTATGTATGACAAGCTGGTTGACACGCTGTTCGGCGGACCCCGCCTTTTCTCTCACCGTATGCTATCTATCATCTTATCTACAAAACCTCCGAAGTAACTTCATTCATTCCAACATCTTACAAAAACAACATTCAATTCAATATCTCAATTTCTACCCTAATTTTACAATGGCAAGCGATAGAGAATATCTGCTTTCTCTCCAGGCCGTTCGAGACCATGCATCCAAGGTCTTTGACGCAGCGAAGCGGGGGAACTTGAAGCATTTCGATTACGACGAGAGCCGCATGGGCGAAGTTGCTGATTACGTATCCAAAGTCATCGACGTAAGTAACAAACACCACCATACGAACACTCTGAAGCTGACGATGATTTCCAGCGTGATTTTGGCCCTGATAAATACGACACAATTCCTCCTCATGGTCGATGGCAGCATTTTGAGGTTGGCGGCGTTCCCCGTGTCGACTCTTTGATCAAAGAATGGTCCAGTGAAGCCAAAGTCGACAAGACTGAGATTACGCGACGCCTGGTGGATTTATTCTTTGTTTCCGTCCTTTTGGATGCAGGCGCGGGTGATGTCTGGCGTTTTAAAGAGTCTGGCTCTGGTCAGGAAGTTGTCCGAAGTGAGGGTATCGCCGTCGCCTCGCTGCACATGTTCAAGGCTGGCGCTTTCAGCTCCGACAGTTCATTGAAGAACCGAGTAGATGGTATGCTGAACTCCACTGACTGGAAGTCCTAAAGCTAATATTATGGCACAGGAAAGGGACTGGTTCAACTAAAAGAGCCAGACTTTAACAGCCACTTCCAGGTCTCTGCTGAAAACCCCATGGTCGGCGTTTCATCACGAGTCCAGCTTCTTCAAGCTGTTGGATCGTCGCTACTCAAAAGCCCAGAAATGTTCGGAGAGTCGGGGCGTCCAGGCAATCTGGTTGGTCAGTCTACCTATCAAGTCCGTCGCCTGCATTGAAGATCACATGCTCACCGCTAGTCTCCAGATTACCTCATGACCAAAGCTTCAGGCTCCAAGACTCTAAGCTATGAGCAACTTTGGTCTTGTTTACAGACCCTCTTGATCCCATCTTGGCCAGGGAACAGAACGGTTTTCAATGGCCAGCCCATCGGCGATGCATGGCCTCTCGAAGTTCTCGCAGACATTGCGGATGAACAGGGCGATAGGCAGGAGAGAAGCAGAATCCAGCCTTTCCACAAGCTTACGCAATGGCTCGCCTATTCCTTGTCTGTGATCTTCGAACGACAGATGGGTTACACCTGGGAGAAGATGGAACTCGGAACCGGCCTGCCCGAGTATCGCAACGGTGGTGTTTTCGTCGACCTCGGAGTCCTCAAGCTCAAGCCAGATGATCTTCAAGCTGGAAAGGTGAGCTCAGGCCAAGAGCTCCCTCAGTTTGATGCTTCCTCCGACGTCGTTGTCGAATGGCGAGCTATGACCGTCGCATTGTTGGACGAGTTGCATCAGATACTCCAGAGCAGGTACAAGCCTCATGGGGTGGAACTAAGTCTTCTCCAGATGCTGGAGGCTGGAAGTTGGAAGTCCGGACGTGAGTTGGCTGCTGAGCATAGACCTGATACCAAGTGCAGCCCCATCCTTGTCATCAGCGACGGTACTCTATATTAGAAGATAGAACGGGCTCCCATGTCTAGCACTAGACTTCAGTTTGCATAGATATTCTAGGCTCTACTTAACTCTAATTACATCACATTTTCATACGATCCTCTTTATTCCACCCACGATTAGTTGTAACCAGTACCAGGCTTGCCATAACTCGGGTGACCTCTTCCTTTACTTTCCATAACAGCAAGTCCTTCACCTCTTCTAGTCTCGACCAACTTCGCATCCAGCAGCTTCTCATAAAATGGCACAGACCGTTCCCAGTCTCCCGTCAATAACATCGTCCGTCGTAAATCTGGCATACTATCCAAAACCTCATGAATACAGCGAATTAACCAGCTTCCCAATCCCTTCCCTTGAAGAGCTGGATCAACCCAAACATCTGTGAGATATACGAACGTGACAAAGTCCGTAACACATCTAGCGATTCCAACGAGTTTGTTTTCCGATGACTTGTCGGCATTTCCAGTTTGTTCGTATACACCAAAGGAGAGCGAGTTGTCCAGTGCTTCTCGAAAGGCCTCCGGTGATAAAGCTCTTGCCTAGTAAAAGTCGGCTGAGTCAAAGATTTCTGTTAGTCGCGCAATGGGAAACAGGCTTGAATCGGTTGATATAAAGAATGAGTCTTTTGTCCAGGACAGTGACTTGCACTTCGATTTGATAGATGTAGCTGTCATCGCGACAGTATGATGCAGTGAGTGACTCTGAAATTTGTGAGTTTTAGCAGGATAAAAGGCAACCAGGCATTTATGCGCACTTCAACGAGAAGATAAATTAAATACACAATTGCCTGTGACTCATTTCTTTCTGAACGCCGCCGTTGGCGCCCTTCGTTCGACGATACGGTAAGTGGATTAGTTATCGCTGATCTCCTCGGTGTGTCGGAGCCGAAGTGATCGGAGACAAGTCCCGAATTTGGACGCGACGGGAATTGTGCCGAAAATATCCGTACCTGACGCCAGGGTAGGTTCCGCAGGATCATGCTAGAAGTATTAACTCGGACAATTTACACCGGCTTAGCGCGTCGACTCCCTATTTTATTTTGATATCCTAAGCCTCAGACCAATACTAGACAAATCGTACTGCCCAACTCAATTCTTCACTGAATAGTTGTGCAGTAGTATTGATTGATGCCTAGGCATGCGTTACAGAAACCGCCAAGCTTTCAATGATTGGTCTATTTATGCCGTGTGCAAGGGCCATTGCCTCAAATATACAATTTATCTTTAGAGCGTGTTATTCAATTTGCTTGACGAAGTCCGCGGGTACCGAGAAATTGAAACTATTATGTCAGAAAAGTCCCATCGTAAATACTTAACATCACACTGCATCGGCAACAGATTAGAAATCGGGATACCAGGGTTCAGAATTTAACTTCAACCTCGCCTATGATCCATGCAAGCACTTTAGAGTTTAGGTCTGGTAGTATACCCTGCAGAGAAGAGCAAGGGATTGTTCCTACAGCCAGGGTAGGATGCTGCGCTGAATACATATATAATAATTCATGCTCACGTTCGTTTTTCGTCTCATTCGTTCCACGAATCCTGTCATCTGCGCCCTTTGAAAGCGATCATCACCAGTGGCCCTCGCGATTTCATCAGCTTATCAACTACAATGGAGAACTCAGCCTCGAAAGCCAGAGGCGCCATGGAATCAAGCGACCCGCTACCTATCAAAACAAATGACCTTACCGCCTCATGGTTCACCAAGATCTTTGAGAGACAGGTCAAGGAGGCCGACGTCATTGAGACTATTCACGGAACAGCATCTAAGGCCTTGGTGAGGTTGACTTTCGCCGACGATACCACTAAGAGAGTGTACGTCAAAGGTGGTCTGAACCCGGCCGTCAAATCGACTTTGCACTTCATGCTGGCCGTCTATCGACTGGAAGCCGAATTCTATTACTACCTGGCACCCAAGTTAACTATGTCTCTCCCAAGTGCAATATATGCTGGCACCGATACTGTCCGTGGACAAGGGATTGTGGTTTTCGAAGACCTGACGGCACAAGGATTAACGTTTGGAAACCCTTTAGAGACATGGCCAGTCAGTCGAGTCGAGGCGGGTGTCAAGCAATTAGCGGCACTGCATGCCGGTACTTGGGGTAACAAAGGCGAGGATCTTCCATCTCTCAGCAAGGCATTATTCATGGAAGATGCTGTGAAGAGTCTATTAAGTCCAGAGGAATGGGATAAGCGCTTTTATCCAGACACAAGACCACCTGTACCAGTGCACCTGGAAGACCAAGAGCGCATTATGTCAGCTTTTGAGATCCTTTGGGGTTCAGAGACCAAGACGAATTGCCTCATTCATGGCCATGCGCATATCGGTAACACGTTCATCTCACCAACTGGGGAACCTGGATTTCTTGACTGGCAGGTTATCCATCCTGGATCAGCCATGACCGATGTGGCTTATTTCATTATTGGCGCACTATCAATTGATGATCGACGACTTCATGAGAAGGGGCTGTTACAGGTTTATCTGGAGGCTTTGCATGACGAAGGAGGACCTGAGATACTGTTGGAAGATGTCTGGGGCGAATATCGAAGACAGGCGTTCCATGGTTTTGCGTGGGCTGTGGCTGGGCCGATGGTGCGAAGTCGTGAGATAATCGATGCCATGACAGAAAGGCACTGTGCAGCGATTGTGGACCACAAAAGCATCGAGTTATTAGAGGGTTCAGTTGAAGTATAATTAGACTATCGAGATGTTACAATGGATCTATAGAGGATATTCGCAAAAGCGGGCTTAAAGAAACCAACAACATCCTTTGGTCGCACTGATCTTTCAAGATGCTCTGTGGTATGTCATTGGCTGTCTGTAAGCGAACGTGGAGATTATAGGGTTGTAATAAGAAAGTCTATTAGTATGGCTGACAGGTGCACTCGAATCGTAGCTTTGCATTAGGCATAAGTGAAGCGTTTACTGGGTCTATTAGACAAGAGAGTGTCATCCCGTTCATCTGCTTACGTGGGATTCTGTTGGGCATCAGGCCTTCACCTGGGTTCAACCCGGCGGGGATTACGCGGACAGTTGCATCTTGAAATAACCTCGCTTAAAGGCGCTGGACTGGGCTTAGACGAAATTTAACCTTCATTAGTACACGTAAGGCCAGATGGAGAGTCGGAAATGGATTGGATGCTAAGATGGGATAATCCCTGCGCCGGACTATTGCAATATACCGAGAAGAGATAAAGCTTAGACAGCTGAGAAACAGCTGACATTGTGCTCGCAGCCTCTATCCCTTAAACTCTTATCCGCTTCTCCATTAACAGGGTCCTGTGTCATAGCTGAACTCAAATCAACCAGTGGATGAATTGTATCGTACGGAGGAGATACAGCCGGGCTGTTCATGGAAGTCAAAACGGACGACCCTGGCGTTGACACTTGATAGGCATGTGGGGCTTAACGGGATAAAAGCGGGATGGCCACATCAGAAAGTCTCACTCGCAATTCAGGTTCCCGTATCCCAGGTTATCCCCTTCGTTGAGTTTTCGTTTAATCCACATTATGGGGTATCCCGTCGGGCAATCGGAGCGGTTCATGATACCGTTGCAATTACCGTCGGGAATATCATTGGGTTTCTTTATCGGCGTACTGCCCGGTATCCTCCTCTTGTCTAGTTGGCTGTATCCGTGATTTACTACCGCCTTACTTGAAACACGGGCTTCTACTCGTATCACCGGTTTTTTTTTTCTTTTTTTTTTTATGTATATAAAATTAAAGTAGAGTTTACAAGATCAGGATTTTAATCATTGCGATGTATTGAGCACGGAAAATACACTGAGGAACGGAAGATGGGACAACAGTGTGCTATGATATGAAGCCATGCATCGTTTAATACACCCATTTCGAGAACTAAGCGGTCTTCAGTTAAGGTTTCTGTGATTCACCCGGTTGTGAGACTTTTGAATACGGAGGTGGTGGATCGGTCTTTGGGGAAGCGGCTGGTGGGTATTGGCCTCTTTCAACATAAATGATCTGCGGGCCGTTCCGGTTACTGGAGGGTTGCCTCTTCAACTCTCGCCACGCTACCACTATCATCACCAAATGCACAACACTAAGGTGGTCAGTCAATCGATCGTAGCAAGCACCGTTTCAAAGTGCGTGGGTTCACTTCACGTACGCTGTCATGAACCCAAAGCCTGTAGCAACGCGGAGATACTCCACGCCTTGTTCGTTCTGGAAGAAGGCAAAGTACCATCCCGAGTCGCTGAGTGTCGCAGCTGTAAAGGCGATGACGCTGGACATAGCGGCCACGGCAATAAATAAAATGATGTCGATGATAATGCAGGCATTGGGATGGATGCCATCACTGTTAGTATATATAATGAGGTATAATACTTCGACCAGATCCCACAGTACTGCCACACCGGTCTGTAACAAGATAAGCGCCTAGTCAGACAAATAACACTTTATCATTGAGTCAACTTACTGGCGGTCCGAGCATGATGAGGGCGCCAATTGTCCAGTTAGTCGCATAAAAAGCAGAAACACCAATCGCAGCAACGCTAAGCAGAATAGACAGAAGGCGCAGGCTTATTTTCATCCACCAAACACCTGATGACCCAGTGTGGCTTACATGGTGGCAAGTGTTTTGTTGGTCCATTGCGTTCGCTTGAGTATGTCACTGTAGAACACAGAATCGAGATCACAAGGGGAAGTGGTTCGTTTTTAAAGTTATTCTCACAATATTCCGCGCTAATAGCTTTACGGCGCATGCATGACAGTTCCAGCTGAGCTGAATGGCAGCGTTGGTGGATGGCGCCAGTTAGAAGGCTGGCTTAGACCACATGGCGAATTGTTAGGTTGATTTATTCCTTGGCAGGGCACCCTTCTCAGCCGCACGCGGAATCTTCCCAATACGGCCTGACGTGGTTTAAGACCTCAATCATTCGAGAGTTGACATACGAGTTATCCAATCTGTTGTTCAATCTGGTATTCAATCTGATACATAGGAAATAAAAACACTAAAACGAGTATTTAATCAAATCTTCCACGAGACCAAAGTCCTCCAACATTATTAGGAGATAAAAATTGATAGAACGCCAACATTCCACAGCCAAGTCCGAAAGATTATATCCAACTTTCTTGCTCTCCTTACTTCTGCTTCTGCAAGAAGCTGCTAATGTCCTTTGCCAATAGCTTGTGGAAGGGATCAGTAGGGTGCAGGTCATTCAGCCACAAGTACTGGTTAGCAGCGTACTTGCACGAGCTTGACTTCGAGTCAGGCTTCTCAGTTCCCCTGTCTCACATTAGCATGTAGCCTTGTAGAAGGTCGCGTGGTACTCACTTGGTGTAGGCAGAGCAATAGCCGTTACTATCTCTGTAGATCTTGGTCTCGCTGTAAGAAGAGGGTTTATTCATAACATTCATCATTAGAGGATAGGTGTCATAGACGAAAACAGTCGACTTGGAATAATTCTTCTGGATGCTTGACTGTAAAGATCTGACACGCTTGTTCCATTCAGATACTGCCTTTGCGATTCGAGGAATTCTTGTTGCGCTGTCAGACTTCTTGGTCACTCTTGGGGCGCGCTCAAGAGGTGGCAGGGTCAACAGGAGGAAGTTTCTGGCACCAGCCTTGTAAAGTGCAGCAATCTCTCCACTGTAGGTCTTGAAGATCTTGTCAAGAGTATCTGGCTTGTTGTATAAGTCTCCCTTCATGACATCGTTGATTCCCATAAAGATTGCAAAGAGAGAAGTGGACGCAGCGAATTTCTTGTCGCGTTTGTAGTTGGGAAGAAACTTCTCTTGAACCTGTCGGACTAAGTCGTTGTTATTGTTTCGAATGATGTCTGTATCAACAACAGCTCCACTGTAGGCCAAGTTGTAGGTCAGGAAGGGGGATTTGTTGTAGGTAGTTGTCAGGTAGTCGATCCAGTTAGGTCCATTGGAACTGGTCTTGCCTGGGTAGGACGGATTACCCAGTCGATTGTTCTTTGAAGGCTGAGTACCAGAAGTTTCAAACCCAGTCCTGGTCCAGGAGTCACCACTATCAAAAGGTTAAGACAAGTCTCACTCGCAAAGAATCAGAGTTACTAACAAGGAGAAAACACTCTCAATTTTCGAGAATCCGTGCCAGTAGTTTGCTCGAGGCAAGACAGATGCATCGCCACTCACGACCAAAAGACCGGCGAGAATAACTGCTTTGAGAACCATGATTGCTTAGAAATAAGAGTTAAAGAATGATTTGCAAGCTTATCAATTCAGAGGAATGACAGCAAAATTGTTACATCTTTATAGTTATTACAGTCATACTGCTTTCTTCAACTTTGGGCGATCTGATTCCATCCTTCGGCGATCTGGAAATAATCTAAGATAACAAATTGATGACGCATGATGCAGTTTACAAGATTCACATGAGTGTTTTCTTTGTTTTTCCCTGTTATTCGCGGATCCGTAACGCATTATTGGTAGCGAGGCGCCTAACACTTAAACTATTGAAATGTGGCGTGAGGTCTTCAACGTTGCGACCCAGTAACCCAGTTGGTGGTATCGAAATCAATTAAAACCCATGATCTTCGGAACCCGTTATTCCGTCTTAGCTTCGGACTTAAGCCTGTTTGAGCTCGCGCGTCTGTCACTTGCAACGGGACTTATGACTGACATAAAATATGACGCCTGATCCGGATCAAGCGGACTGATGAGAGACAGACGTCATTTCGTTACAGTAGATGGAAACAATTAAGATAACTAACTTATCAGAACTCCATAATACAAGCCATAAACTAAAGTAAGATAAAGACAAAAGAAAGTGTTGGTTACAACAGATTTGCGCTAGTTTGCCGCCATTGTTAACAGATCATGCATGCATCATGCACCCCTTAGCACACCAACCACCATTGTCTCGCAGTATGCAACACATCCAATCGGCCGTTCGGCCTTTCACGGATGATCCTCCTGCGAGGTACGGAGGTCTTCACACCACCATTAAGCTTCCACTCCCCTGGCGCAACATACTTTCCTCCCCCTTGGATGCTCTTATCCACAGCACCAGCACACCACTTATCAAAGGTAGGTAGGTCCAAGCTCAAACCACTGTTCAGCTGAGAATGGACATCCTTGAACTCATCAGGTGCCTTAGTCCAGCCTTGCATCTGATGGTGCGCAGCCTTGAGAAGCTCAAGGTGAGTCCGCGCCTCGGAGATGAAGCGTTGACGGTCAGGATAAGCTTCACCAAACTCATTGCCGCTACTGCATGAGATCATGTCGCGTAGAATGGTCTCGTGGATCGACATAGCACTAGCCTTGCGACCACTGTCGGCATACAAGGAAGCGAGGAGACGAGAGAATTCGAGAGTCTCCACATCAAGGCGGCCGCGACTGCGACGAAGGTTGTAGCAGATCAATTCTGCTGTCTCGATGGCGCAGATCACGTCCTTGCGAGCATACTGAGCGTGGACAAGCTTCTTACCAATGTCCAAGACGGCAGTTGAAGACCAGCCAGCCTTCTGCAGCCTCTCACGTGCATTCCAGAGACGGTGGAGAAGACGCTCAAGCTCATCCCAGTTCCTCTGAGCTCCAAGAAGTCTGACAAGACCAGAGATATCCTCAAAGCGCAAGCAGAGGTAGTCAATGTTGGCCTGCTTGAAAGCAGCAAGGACCTCAGTCATGACCTCACGTGAAGTGGCCAGCATAGCGTTCCTGATCTTCTCCTCCTTCGCGTCGGCTGGATGGGGTACATCAATACCCGCCAAGTACTCAGCCAGCTTGTAGCCGTACTGAATACAGTTCTGGCGGTGGTACAGCTTCTGAGCTTGAGCAAAGTGGAAGACACAGTGGCCGAGCTCTTCGGCGCAATGCCAGTCCTTAGCTTGGAGGAGCTCGTTGACCCTGGCGCTACCGGCCTTGACAGCGAGGAGAGGGAAGTCAATCTGAGTAGCACCACGATCCTTTCCAAGCTCGCAAAGAATAGCGAGATAGAAGACACGAAGATGCTCATCAGCCACATCCTTGAAGTACGACGCATACTTGTTCTTGAAGAGCTGGAAGAGTCTCTTGTCGAGAACAAGAAGTAGCTGAGAGCGCTTGTGCTCAACCCAGAAGCCACGAAGCTTGGCACCGCATTCTAGAATGACTTCAAGCTCGGTCTCGCGTTCCACAACACGAGAGTACTCCTCGTAAAGGATTGACTCATAGATAATGGTGGCCATGATCTCGGAGTAGGTTGTGGCGCAGTCACTGGGGCACAGACCATGCTCGAAGGCGCTGAGGAAGACAAAGACATGCTTGCTCAGGTGGACGTCAAGCTTTATGGTAAGATCATTGCAAGGGATTGAACCTCGGAAGATTACCAAGTGGCGAAGCTGACGGAGGACTTCGTAGCCCTGCTGCACAAGGTTGACCTTGACATAAATAGATGCCATGGTGATTGCAACCTTGAACAGTACCGTAGTGACCTTGCAAGTCGTGATGACTTGAGTGATGTGAAGCTCGAGAAGCTTGATCATCTTGACGTGGTACTCCTTCGTGTTGCAGGTGTGGTACAAGGTGATGACGTACTCAAGCTGCTTCAAGGTCTCCTCATGCCAGTATCCGAGAGTGATCTTGAGATGCTCGTAGGTCTCAATGCAGATCTGGATGGCACGGTCGATGGGAACATGTGGATGGCCCTCCTTCTTGCCGCCAGTCGTGATGATGGTCACATAAAGCTTGGAAAGACGCTTCTTGACGGTATTGATGGTAGTCTCGGTAACAGTAGTCGTAGTCGTCTTGGTGGTGGTGATCCGCTTGATCACCTCCTCATAGACAGTGACAGACTCGTGGACATGCTTCTCATGCTTCTCACACATCTTAGCGAACGCAATCAAAGCCAAGATGTAAGCATGGGACTCCCCACCGCAGGTTCTCTGAATAACCTCCTTGTACTCGACAGAAATCTTGTAGAGGACAGAAAACTCAACCTTGATGTGAACCTCGAGAACGTAAGTGTACTTCTCGTAGATCTCACAGATGATCTCCTCGGACCACTTGTGCTCGCCATGATGGTGACAGACAGTCTCCCACATGAAGGCGCAAAGTTCACGGAGCTCAACCCACATGCCACGGCCGTGGTAGTGACGGCAAAGGAAGAGGCCAGCCTCGAAGGCATCGTGATGACAGTGCTTGATACCCTTGTTCAAGACGGTGACGATCTCAAGATAATACTTGTAAACATCCTTGTGACCAATTGTCTTGCAGTGGTGGGCCAGCTGATACAAGGTCCTGATAGTCAAGCGATGGGTATGACCAAGATGCTTCTTGTATCGCTCAAGGATCTCGATGTAGATCTCAATCACCTTCTCGTGTCGGTGATGTTCCTCATAGAACTCAATGAGAACTGTGAGAGAGTCACAGAGCAGCTCATCCTCAAGACCACAAGAGGTCAGACAAGCACGGTAGATGCGAAGGTAAATGAACTCAGCCTTCTCAAAGTGACCCTGGTGATGGTAGCACTTGGCGAGACGACGAGCAACATGGACACATTCTCGAATAGAATGCTCGGAGAGAGTGATGCTGACATCAGTACTCAAGATGGCCTTCCAAGTAATCTCGAGAGTGCGCTTGATGACAACTTCAGCCTCCGACCAGCGGTGATGCTCGAAGTAGATACCGATAAGAGCCATGCAAGCTGAGTAGAAGGCATGATCAAAACCAGACTTCTTGCAACGAGTGTAGTGAGTCTCGTAAATCTCCTTGACGACTGTCTCAGTCACCTCAGTGGTGGTGGTAGTAGTTGTCTTAGTAGTGGTCGTGGTCTCAGTGACCTCCTCGACGACCTCGGTGATGAGAATGGTAGTCTTGCGAGCTTCCTCGTCATCACCCTTACCACAGCCCTTGAACCAGCCCCAAACCTTGGTCAAGATAGAGACGGTGATCTCTAGAAGACCAAAGGTTCTGCAGGTCATTCCAAGTTCTCGGATCCAGATGACGAGAGTCTCGGTATCACACTTGTAGTGCTCATACTCAGCCCATAGACAGATGAGAATGGTGGTAGCTTCCTCATGGCGGTGAACTGTCTTCAGGTATTTGCAGTACTCGAGAGCAATCTGGATCTTGGAGATGTGCACTTCAATGCTGGCATTGAGGCGACAGGTGATCGATATGCGACGCCAGATGCTGATGAAGAGACGCTCGGCGAGGTAGAACTTGCCACAGGCGTGGTAAGACCAGGCGAGCTTGATCATCATGGCGATGCAAAGGTGAGAGTGGATGTCGAGTTCTTCAGTGGTCTCAAAGATGAACTCTTCCATCTCGCAGATACCTCGCTCAGCCTCCTCGCCCTTGAGAACAATGTCAAGAGTGCCGAAGAAAGCGCCGATACGACCAGCTTCCGGAGACTTCTTGCCAAAGCGAATGACAATGATCTCGTAGAGCTCCTTGTAAACGACAGTAGCGCGCCACTCCTCATGAATGCTGATGTAGAGCTTGGCCAGCTTCTCATACCAGCAGATGACCTCATCACTGGATCGACCGTGCTTGTGCTTGCAGATCTCAATCCAGACACGAATCATCTCCTCCCTGCAGGTCACGATCTCAGTGCGCTTGGTAACAACAATAGTCTCAGTCCAAGTAAGGAAGAGGTGAGTGCATGAGCTGACAAAGACGCTGGTCTTGGACAAGACGACCTCACCCAGCTTGGCAGCACGGTAGTAGTAACGCGCGCCACAGACATGGGCATCAGAAGAAGTAGAGAACTTGACATGTATGTGACCAAGAGCGATGAGACTCTGAAGAACAGAGACATGCTTCTCACCAAAGCAAGATTCGCGGATGCGGAGGGTAAGCTCGTGAAGCTCGATGGTCTCCTGACGGACGTCGTGTCTACCCCAGCAAGGTCGCTCAAGGAGAGTGAACATGACGGACTCGGGGAAGATATCACGGAAGCCTTGAGGCAAGGCGATCTTCCCGTCCGAGGCTACGAAACCTGCATGTCGGAAGTGGACGATCCAGTTGCGCATGACATAGCCCATGAGATGATGTCGGCTCATGATGACCTCAACAACAGAGTCATCGAGCTCATCAGTAAGGAGCTCCTGGTCATCATCAAGGTTCAATCGGGCATAGAGAAGCATTCGCAAAGTCAATTGGGAGTGAGCCTCCTTCTCAGAAAGAAGAGACTTCCCGAGCAGACCCTTGAAGTAGGCTTGAACAACAGCGTTGCGGAAGTGAAGACGGCCACCTCGAATGATGAGGAAGTCGCTGCACTTCTCCGACACAAACTTGGAGATGTTCGAAGGAGTAGGAAGTATGCAACGCTTCTGCAAGTCGGTAGAGAGAAGCTCCGCGATCTCTTGAACAGAGAAGGGAGTGTTAGTGACAAGCATGAAAGAGAGGAGGTGCTTCGCAGTCTGGTCCTGCTTCAAGTCCAACTTGTCGACAGCAATACGCAGAATGTCATTGACATCAGCACTGAGGCTCTTGACCTTCGCGAGGAAGCTGTCACAAGATTGCTCGCGGATCAAGAGACGGCCAGCGTAGAAGGCCCAGAGGAAGCTGCCCTTGGACTTGGCGACCAGGTCAGTGACGATCTGCTCACGGTCGCGATGCTGGACATCTTGGAAGTGACTAGACTTGGAAAGAGTCTGCTTGAGGTGCGAGCGGATGTCTTCCTGGACCTGCTGCTGCTTGATCTGGTAGATCTTGCTACAGTCCTTGAGACCGTCAAGTCTTCGTGAGAAGGTGATGACACGAGTTCGTCGAAGGTCAACGACGCATTCCGAGAGAAGCTTGTGGAAGCCGACAGCGCTCTTGGAACCGCCGACCATCTCGTCGCATCCATCAGTCAGCAGGACGAAGCGTGAGCCTGAACTCTCAGCAGCGTGCATACCCGTGCGAAGGGTATCCCAGAGAGTGGCCTCAAGCTTGCCAGCATCATGGGTCTTGGAGTAGACCTCAAAGGCCTGAACAAGACGCTGGTAGAGCTCAACATCGCCGACACTTCGTTCAAGAAGCTGGAAGACGAAGCTCTTGACGCAAGCCAGCGATGTCGCCTCCTTGGGAGAGTCCCAAGGGAAGTTGTAGGAAAGAACAGTATATGACTTGTAGTCAAGAGGACGCGCGAGTCTCTCTTCAACCCACTCAGCCAAAACACTCTTACCGACACCAGCCTCACCCCAAAGGTTGAGAGACTTGTCCTTGCTGTTGAGGAAGCTGGTCAACTGGCTCTTGATCCAGTAGCAGGTATCCTCAGAGCGATCAAGATGCTCGTAGACCTCGTCGTAAAGAGTGTTTCTGACCGATGAGGCAGCAAAGGGTTGGAGGCGCTGACGAACAGACTTGAGACTAATGGAGAAGGAGTTGTGACCAAGGCTGTAGCGCCAAACACGATCGCATAGATCGTCCTTGGCCTTCCAGATAGAGTCGATGTATTGGCCAAAGGCCGCATCGAAGCTAATGGTGACACTGTCTCCACTTCGAAGACTGTCAATCTTCTGCTTGTAGTGGCTCGCGATGCGACCGATGAGGTGGACGAGTTCGCAGAGGATGTGGGCTGCGCACTCCTTGATGGAGGTGGACATGTACTCGAGGTCGCGGATACGAGAGACGGTGGAGAGGAGCATAGCTAGCTCGTAGAGGGCGATGAAGGTGGGCACGAGGGCCTTGGCTTGGCTGTGACCAATCTGTAGAAGTCAGTACTGGCCATGATGGCACGACGAGAGGACAATTGGGTAGGAGACATACCTCAAGTAGAACTTGGCAACTGGCGAGGGCAGCAGATGCCGAAGAGTGGGCGCCAGAGGCGAAGGCCTCGATCTTGCTGGCGAAGTTGGTGATCTGAAGACCAAAGAACTGAGCAGTGCTGAGGACACGGTCCCAGTCGCTGCCTCGACGAGGCATGTGAATGAGACGTTCATCAGAGATGTACTGAAGGTATCCTCTGATATCCATCTCATTGACAAAGTCCTCATCATAGTCTTCAAACCGGACAATGTATTTCTTGACAGTCCGCGTCACCTTGGTCAACCGCTCAAACTCATGAAGTTTAGTAATGACAGTGGACTTGGAAGTGGCAGCATTGGTGGCTGTGATAGTCAAACTGCTCTTCGCATCGATATCATCTTGCGAAGTCTGGTTGGAAGCGACGGTGGTGCTCTCGCTCTCACCATCTGAGATCTCCATCTCATTGACGCTTACCGCGATATCCTTGTGGTGCTTATCCTTGCCGATACCGACAATGGACTGCTTGATGCCATTGCGAACGGACTCCATTGTTCCGCGTGAGGAGGAACTTTCTTGTGTTTGTAAAGAAGATGACGAGCTCTTGCGTTTCCGTCTGACTGTATGTAAGTGGTCAGCGGAGATGGGAATAAGGCTTGAGTCAAGTGGACGTACTGTCAAAGGTTTTCTTCAAACCCAACATGCTCAATTAAAAATGTGTAAGATGGTGGTACATGGACAAAGAGCCCTACAGCGTGTGCGAGAGACAGTCTCACAGGCAGCACAAGGGTATTATATATCTGCTTCCTACTCAACACCAAGAAAGCCCTCTACCGCAGCTGAAATACCTTCGGAGCTACCCCTCAAACGCCAGCCAGCCAAATTCAGGGTTCGCCCTCCCATTGCTGGTCTCGATGCAACCCCTCAGAGTCTAGACAGAAATGGTCTTGGATCAAAAAGCAATTCATGCCGTGTAGCCTCAGCGCCCCGAAGGTTCAGAATGTACGTTGCTAATTGGATAAAGGATGGCAAAAGGTCTGAGAGCTGAGCTAAGTGTGAAAAAAAGAAGTACCCCAGAAGCAGGCAAAAGAGGCACAAGAGTGGCCAAGTCATTTTGTCAGACATGTCAATTGGGGTAACTTTTCTAGGCTGGCTGTGATGAGGCACACACATACCAATCCCGATGCCGTGGCTGAGCTGAAGTTCAAGCAAGGGTGGAAGCTGAGCAACTGAGCTACCGTTTCTCACTTCCCCATTGGGAACGAGGCTTCAATAGTTCCGGCCGATTCATCCCCAGAATTCCATCGGTTCGCGGGAACACCATTTTAGACACGCGGCCTAGACCGTCCCTGCCCAAAGCTCAGCGAGTGTGGGTTCCAAAAATGATTCATCATCTCACAGCGTGTTTCGGGCAGTGTATTTCTGACACCACCCAAACCGTTCAGACTACTGATATTTCATGCAAGCCTCATCACCAAAATGTTGTCCCAAAAGAGTAATTCCACGTTCCGTATCGGCCCATGTGGCTGGCTGCGCTACTGTACAGTTACAAAGAGCTGAGACAAGAAGTCGAATCCATCGTGGACGAGAATTGAGTTATTGAGCGGGAATGCTTGGGTCCCTGGGCAAAGATGAAATGATTGGACAATTGTGGTCCAATATCACGGATCTAGCTCTCGGGGCTTGGACCATCATTGTCGCGTATCGAAGCGAAGTGTTCAGTTGATTGAAGAAAAGCATGTCTGGAGGGAATGTCAGACTCAGCCTGCATCGGCAGCGTCGGGTCCCCTTTTTGAACGATCGCTCTTCGCTGTGGCCGGCTGGCAGAGCAGGGATTGACCCCTCATTGACGCTGTGGGTGGCCTCAGCTTTCAGTGCTGCATACGGTTTACACTAAAGCTGCAACGATGAGTGATGCGGGTTATTGACAAGTGGTGAGCATCGGGAATAAAGAATCGCATGTGAGTCCATTAATTGTTCGCATCAATTGTTCGCTTGTTCGTAACTAATTTAGTTAGTAGAGTCCCAAGGGTCTGGGTCCTGGGTCTGGGCTCCCTCGCAAGACAAGACTATTGATTAAGCAAGTGGCGACCATGCAGGCGAACGTTGTCTATGGAGTCTGGACAGAGTCTTCGTTAGCGACGGCATATCTACAAGCTTTGATCTATTCAATTGCTATGTGAGACTCCATGCTGATACTGTATCAGCGTCTCTGTAGCAAGGCGCGGGATGGAGATGCACTGAGTAGACAGAAAGTCCTATCGATAAGTGATGTGATAAGAAGATAACGAGCCACCGGTGATAGCAAGATCTGTTCTTCCGTAGAGGGAAAGGGTGGCTAAGAATAGACGCAGCTCTTAGTCAGCTTACCCTACAGCAGAGAGGAGAATCTTAATAAACTAAGCAATAGAGGCTCTAACAGGTGAAAATACAGTTGGAAAGTATAGAGAATCCCTTCTTGATAGATATTGTACTTCTAGGAACTGTAAAATTGTCTCCTTATCACTGTTTGTCGATGTATGTCTGTGTCAGCCTATTTTATCGAAATTGAGTCCTTGAGGATAATGCAACTTTTGGGTCAGCTTGACAGATGTGAGAAATTGCAAGCCAGTACACTAACCTTATCTCGGTATCCATCAATTTGGGATTGTGGCTGTTAGTGCAAGAGTACTGATATCTGAGCGATCTTACTGGATATCGCGTCGCGTCTCTTGCAGTCCGATTGGCTCGGCCGAACGGAACATCACGCGTAACCAGGTTCTCGCGCTCTATCCTAGCACTCAACGCGTCGCGATGTCTCTGATGACATCGGTCTTCTCTGACCAGCCATCTTTAATTGCAGGTGTTAGGCGAAGCTACGCGGCAGAGTATGTTTCAGGCGAATCTGTCGGATCCATTCTTGTGTCCATACCAATGACGTACATATCCTCATCGCGACGCGTTAACCCGGGTTCTCCATCAAACTACACACGACTAAAACGAAGGATCTGAAACCATATGACATCTGCAGCATCATCACTTGGTAACTGGGAATGTACTCTCAGTCACTGAACCAGAACCTGTGTCAATAACCACCTGCACACCGGGCAGCGCCTTCGGCTCATTGTACGACCACTGCTGAGCGCCTAGTCATTTCAGTCAGTATGTTCGGTATGTGAGGATGATTCGACTTACTCTTTGGTCCCTGAGCACCAATGGTACACGCGACACCCTTATCCAGAGCCTCGAAATACTTGTACGTGACAATGTTAGGTCGCGCTTCTTCAAGAATCACGAGGAAGTGGTAATACTGGTCCTTGTCCCCGTACCGAGAGACGTACCATTCGACGCAAAGGGAGCGCGACGGTGCTTGACCAGTGATCTCGTAGTAAATGCCTTGAGGTGTGTCCTTGTAGATGAAAAGATCGCACCAGAAGGGGAGCAGAGTATAGGCAGGGAGACTTCCACTATGGGAGGGAAGAGGCTGGTGAGTGTAGGTCGGATCACCCGAGTCAAGACTGAGTAGCCCGTTGATGGATACAAAGACATTGGTGGACGAGTGATCGTAGATCGTGATAGGGAACGAGGAGATGATTGGGTAGTAGATGTCGTCAAAGTCATCAACCGCCCCGCCGAGGCTGCCAACAATTGGAATCGGATTGGAGAGAGTCTAAAAAAGCATTAGCCACTCCGTCTTGGCGATGTGATACTCCGAACTTACCACTGTATTAGCAAGCTCAGGTTTGTTAGCCTCTTCAAGCTGAAGTTTGACTCGCTCAAGTTCAGCCTCCGCCGCTTGCTTGGCTTCTTCCTCAACCTGAAGCCTTTTCTGCACGTCAGCGTCATGAGCATTGGCCGCATCCACTTTGGCTTGAAGATCTCTAATGGACTCGTCGGAAAGACGTTTAGCCTCATTGGCTGCATCAACTCGCTGGTGGTCTTCAAGATCATGCGCGCTCAATTCATCGATCTTGTCCTGGAGAGCCTTCTGTGTCGTTTGAGTCGATTGTTGAAGATCTTCGAGGAGTTTGAGCTTCTGGTCTCGTTCCTCTTGGACACCAGCTAGACTGGCTTCCAGAGTGGCGGTGGTGCTGTCTCTCTGGACAATGGTTTGGTTGGCGGTCGTCAGTCTACTGTTGACCTGATTGAGAGACTCGGTGAGGTCAGCTACCTCTTGGTCCTTGGAGGTCAGTTGAGCTATGATATTGTCAAGACTTGTAGAAATCTCAGCGTTGGTTCTGTTTGCAGTAGCCAATTGCTGGGTGAGAGTGTTGATCTGTGAGTCTTTCTCTCCACAATTCGCCTTGCAGCTAACGATGGATTCTTGTGCAACACTCAACTCGTGCTTCGTGGCAGTGAGCTGCTGGCTCTTTGCGTCCAACTCCTCCTGCAAAGTAGCTTTCTCCTGGATTGCCTTCTCGAAGGAATCATGCGCTGCATCAAGAGACGCATGGTCCTCTCTATCATGCTCAGCCTCACGTTGCCATCGCTCATGTTCTTCAAGAAGGGCCTTGTCAAGCTTGCTCTTGAGACGTCCTTCAGCCGCTTTGGTTTGCTGAAGACCCCTCTCGGTAATGCGAAGCTTGTTTGCCAAGTCCCTCTCTGTCCTGATAGCAGTCGCTCGGGTACTGGCGAGGCGTTGCTCCAACTCTTGTTGGGTCTTGACATATCCGGAAAGTGTGGACTCGAGTTGATCAACCTTGTCAGACTGGTCGTGAACTTGTCGACGAAGAAGTGTCATCTCAATCGCATCGTTCCCGATGGTATCGATGGCAGCATGGAGGCGCTTCTCAAGGAGCTCATAGTCCTGCAGTAAGTAAGCCACTACTGCTCATCTGACTATTGTATCTGTAAATGATAGCTTACCTCAGTCAAGTAACCAACGCGGTCGATGAAGGCGACAGCCCAGGCCAAGTTCTCAGTGACGCTGTCACTAAATGGCAACGGCTTTGTGATGCGAGGTATAGCAGGATGCTCGGTTGGCATGCAGCACTCGAACAAGACTTCCTCGACCGCTGAGTCAGTCGCGACGGAGACAACCCTACTGAATGTCAATAGTGAATCTTGAAGCAACAAATAGTAGTCTTACTGAGGCTGACACACCGGTGTCTTGTGCTTGCGATGATGAACCATTCTGCTGGTGCTTCTAGATGAGATTGAGGTAACGTATAGTAAATCTGATAGTGAGTTCTTTGATCAGTAGTAGGTTTGTTTTACTTCATGAGATGTGGACTCAGGCGATATTTATAACATTTCTCCCAAGACATTAAAACAGGACATACATATTCGCGATAGCCAATAACACGCCCCGGAAAATTCCGTCCTTACAGTCAAGCCTCTTCGTCGCAAGACAACCAATACTGCTACTGGATTCTCAATCGTACCTACCATTGCACTCAAATATTTGCATATTATTGACAACAGAGTGGTTGTCTAGCACATGCTAGATGGTGCTCAACTCTGACGTTGAGGTACAGTACTTACTTACATAGCGTTACATTGGAGGCTTGTCTCATGACCTTTCAGCAGCCAAAATGAAGCCCTCCAGCGAAACCGGGTTGATGGGAGACAGCCACAAATAAGCCTGCTGACACAACGGCACAGCGCATGCAGCTTTGGGTAGCCTTTCAGCTACCGGCATAACGACGATCATATACCTTTAAGAACATGGAGCTTGCATCCACGATTGCTCTTTATCGAATATTGGATACCTGCAACGCTACGCACTTGAAGGACCTTGAACAGAAGTCCCATTCCCATAAGTGGATAGAGAACAATACGTACCATCTGAGGACTTGAGTTGTTTTACGGGTAGAAGCGGAGAATTTGAAGCTTCATATCACACATACAATACTCGGATTATTTAGATAAGGTTATTCTGCGACGGATATTTGTGCCTTGACCTGAGGATACTGAACTCTGTATTCTTCACCGCACGGGTATTGTTATCAGGCGGTGATAAATCAGAGCAGCGATCAACACCAAAGTCCCATCAGTGCGGTCTCGCCAGACCATCGCAAGCGTGCCGAGATCCGCCATTGTTGCACGATCGTTCTCAGCTCAATCAGCAGTCTCAGAGGTCTCCCGCTCCGCTGTTTAAGGCTGAGTAGTGTTTCACTATCTTTCCCAAACAAACTTAGGATCTTCATCTGAGGAATAAGAGCAATCCACTATGGATTATACGGAAATGAGCGACCCAAGCTCCGACTTATAATGGCGGGATTTGATTGGACGCTGAGTGGGGGTAATAAGCTTCGGTACTAGATAGACCAATTAGATGCATTGGCGAGGTTCTAAAGCGAGCTAAAATTCACCGCCTCTAGAAGGATTCAATCCTTCAGGAACAGTGGAACTGTAAGCACAATTCAGTTCATTCAAGGCTGGGTAAACGGGCCAAACCAAGGGGTACTGTAATTCAGTAACATCATGCTTCAGCCAGTTGGAAGTTTATATAACGAGGCATAGGTATGGGTCGAAAGGCTTCTTTCTCAACTCACCCTCATACTTCAATTTAATTACACAACCCAAATCACAACACCGTATAACTTCACCTCTTATCATTCAATATGCAGTTCTCCATCGCTACTGTTATCGCCGCTATGGCTACTTTCCATACCGCCGCTGCTGACTGGACGGGTAAGTGATGCGTATCCTCCCCACCGGCAGTAAGCTAACCAAGCCAATCAGTCATTGCCTACAGCGATTCCAACTGCCAGATGAGCGGCAACGGCATCTCACGTACCCTCTACTCTACCCAGCCCGTACCTGAGAGCTGTTTCAACTTCGGCGAAGATATGCCCAACACATCCTGCTACCAGTCTACTTCTACTTCCAACAGTGAGGGTTGCGTTGGTGCTCTGGATCCCCAGTCGGTTTACGCCGCTGGCAACTGTCTTTTCTATGCCCTGCCTGGCTGCCAAGGATCAGAGGTTGGAGCAGAATTGGGTATTACCTGGCGCGACACCCCGACTTGTGTTCAGGGCGGTAAGCCTTATGAGACTTCCCAGCCTATTGTCAAGTCTTTCAGATGTGTAAGTAAAAGATTCACCTAAGGCTGTCACTGCTTTGGATTCAAGTTAAGTGCTGACTTTAAGTAGACCGATTAGTTGGGATGTACAGGACGCATTTCGCTAGATATAATTAAAACGGTTGTTTAATAGAACAAAACATAATATGACTAATACATCTATAATTCAATCTGTTTGTATATCGGTAAAAATAATTAAAAAATACCTCAAACTGTTGTAACTTTGCAATTGAGGGCAAAAAAGATAGAGAGATAAGGAAATTACGCGATGACAATACCACTGTTGGCCAGCTGAACTCAACCTATTGCAGCCTCGACGTCATCCGTTACAATAGCCAGCTCTTCCCCAATCTCCCCGTAGAACCCAACAGCAGCATATCTCAGCGCAGGACACCCTAAAGAATGAACCAGCCCAACCGTTTCCTCTTCACCTCCCGCAACTCTTTTTGCACAGCCCTTCTGCCAACCTCAAAGCTAACGGAACACCGCTCGAAGATACTCTGGCTTTCGTCATCATGCCTCTTGCGACAGCACGCTTCACTCAAAAACATAGCGTCTGCAGCGGTTGGGCTAAACCAGCCCACAAGGCGCTCCCCACACCGAGCTGCCATGACTACCCCATGATTGCCCTCACGAAATGCTGTACTCATGCTTGAGTGAACAATCCACTTCTTCATTGGGCCCATTGGTTGCACAACGCGCTTTCGGGCCTCGCAAGTTCGGTACTCAAGACTGTGCCCGACTGCGGCGTAAAGCTCACCGCCTTCATTAGGCGCAAGATGAACCACAGGCAAGTCTAAGATGAAGAACTGACCCATATCTTCTGGGTTGTCGGTTGGTCGAAGAATGCTTCTCGTGAGTATAGAGATTGAACCCAGCACACCCAGAAGATTAGTACTAGAATGATCCGGTAAAAAGATCTTGTTCCGCCCAGCATACATAGTAGCAAGCATGTGTAAGACATGTGTTCGCCCAACTGTTAGATTCTTCTTGAGCTCGTTACCGAACTGTGAACACATAGCTAGAAAGCTTGTACTGCCTTGACCCCAGAGGCCACAGTAGTATGCAGTGCTGTTAGACACAAGCTCGTGAGAAACCAAGGGCTCAAAAAGTCCGTAATAGAAGCCAAATACAAGAGCTTGATATGTAAGCCACAGTTCCAACAGCACGTCGTTGCCGTCTGTAACCTCCGTTTGACTCTTAAGTAAGTATTAAAGACCTGCATGGGTCTCGAGCCAAACTTTAGCATTTTTATCGCACCTGCTCACCAAAATTTCAATACCCTTGAGGATTCTCTGGTTGGTACGCGGAAAAGCTTTTTGCGCTATAATGGAGATGTAGCTATCGAACCTTTAAGTATCGGGATCCCAGTCTTCGCCAAGACTATATTAAACCTCACTCTTGGTGCTATAGGGATACTCAGCAGTACAAAGAAATGTTATGCCTTGCGCTGCTTTAGCCCCAAGATCCCAAAGAAACTCTATTCGGTTGGTCGTCGGCCTGCTTGCTTGAGCTGCCTGCACCATACTCTTAGGGTCTCTTGAAGGGACGGACACAATTTGAGCTCGACTCTCTGTAGTGCGATGACACAATCTCTTGCATTGCTCAGATGCTGCTTGAAGAGCAGGTGAAAAGGAATCCGGTGCGTAATCGACAAGAAGGACCCCCTCGCATGAGCCTTTGTCTCCAGTCTTAATGTATATTTTGCAACTCTCCAGTGCTTTGGCCATGGAATAGGTAGCTACTGAGAAGTCTCTACCTGATAGGTTTTCCCGCACTGCTATTGGTCTGTGCTATTTTTCGAGGTTGGTAGTTTGGCCCAAACTACTAACGGCCCTATTGGTTAGGTATCTGTATCGCACCCACTTTATTAGAGTTTCTGACATCAGCCGTGTGCATTATGATTAGCTGGATTCTAGCGGTAGGAGTGGGACTACTTCTGTTGGTTGTAACTGATAGGGCCATGGGTTGAATCGCCACTCCTGCTTCCCCAGGCTTCGCCCTTGCTAATGTCCTACTACTGGACGGTGGGATTATACGTACTAGCACAGACCATCTCTCAGCAGATGAGGGGATAACCCTGACTCGAAGTAAGGGCGATCATGTCTCCCGGCCCTGCCTCCTACCTCTCTGATGGTTGGACAACGTTACAGCACACAGCCACAGTCGCCATCCAACACGGTACTGAGTGGTGCTATGACCCTGATCCGACCCTCAGTTTAAGACACGTCAAGGACAGAGAAAACCACAAAGCACGCTAAATTGCTAGTCAAAAGAAACATTTTACACACAATTTCATTATGATGACGCTGATCCCTGTTATGTTAAGCTAGTGCGCCTTTTTAAGTTTCTTTGTGTGTAGACTTATAAGAAGGCTGTCCCGGATGTCTTGACGGTACTACGGGCGGGCATTAAGGAATTAAAACATCACAAACTGCCCCTATGGATCAACACCAAGCGGGAAACGAGAACTCTCAGAAACTGATACTAGCTATCATTGCAACGTGCGTATCGGTGGCAGTGATCGTTGTGTCCCTGCGGTTTTATGTTCGGCTTGTAATTATAAGGAAATTTGGGCCTGATGATTGGGCTTTAGCTGCGGCTTTAGTATGTATTTTCTTGTCTCTTGTAATCTTCCTACTAATACACCTTTGCTAGGTCGCAACCATATGTGGCGGAGCTATAATGGGAGTTTGTGAGTATTAAAACTAGTTTACTATATGCTGCAGCTTGATTCTAACTCAAATCGTAGCTGTTAGGTTAGGGCTCGGCCGCCATGCCCACCTTCTCTCCCTTACTCAGATGTCTACGTTCCTTAAAGTTCGCCTTTCCCACATTGTATCGCATTCAGAGGCTAATCATTGTATAACCGGATAGATTATCTGGCTCGTAGGTATGGAATATAGCTTCGCTATAACGCTAATGAAAGCGACCTTCCTCCTGCAATACCGTCGTGTCTTCCCGCTTCCCAACTTCCAGCGCCTTTGCAACATAGCCCTAGGTTTCCTGGTAATCTGGGCTATGGCCGGCCTATTGGGTGCTATGCTGAACTGCCTGCCTCTCGAGCGGAACTGGGACGCATCTGCGCCGAATAGTTGTACCGGACGAATAAAATTCTGGGAAGCTTATGCTATCATGCATGTCATCACAGACGTGCTGATCTTTATAATGCCGCTGCCGCTACTAAAGACCCTGCCTCTACCGTGGTTACAGAAGGTGGTATTGATTGCGGTTTTCTGTCTGGGCTTTTTGTAAGTACTTTTCGATGGCTTTGGGGGGTTGATTATTAAAGGAAATGTACTCAATTAACATCTTTTTCTGGCAGCACATGTGCGATTTCGGTGATTCGTTTAACAACCCTCCGTGCGGCACTTACGGACGCAGATGCTACGTGGACGATGTTTCCGACGTGTTTATGGACCATGACCGAAGCACTGTGTGCTATTATTTGCGTCAGCGTCCCAACGCTGCGGCCACTGGTCGATAGATTGCGCGGGCTATGGAAGAGACCGTCTTTAATAACGAATGAGAGAAATAAACGGAACGAATCGAGACGGGTGTTGAAGAGACCGAAAATATATGGAATAGGTCTTGAGACTGGGACTTCAATACAGTCCCCAGTGACCTCAGGCCGTGATAATGAAAGCGCTAAGGTAGTTGATAATATAGAGCTCTTAAGTCCAGAGCCCTGTCACTTCCTGGACACTGATGATATACTTAGAAGCTAAATAAAGATATCTTCTTAATCTGTAATAAAATCTTAGATAAAGATTCCTTAAAACCCATATACTATCACTACTAGCATCCTGGCTCTTTCTAGAAACCCACACCATGGTCTTCTTGGTCTCAGTGTCGATCTTGATAATGGAGTCGCTAAAGTGTCCAGGCTTAACGGCATGCATTCTATATGCATAGCGGTATAGCTTGCCCATGTGTGCTTCGTTAATACGTGGCAACTCGAATTGAACGTCCAAGGAAAATCAAGCTCAGCAACATAAGTCTTCTTGCCTTTATCGCTGTGGTAAGGCAAACGGTAGCGAGTGAATTGGCCGGCGATATTGTTCTTGGAAGACCCCTTGGCCTTGTGCATGAGATTGGCTCGCAGGTTTTCGATCTTGGCAGCTTGTAGGAAGGAATGGTCTTTTATTGTAGGTAGATCGACAAAGATGTTACCATCTTCATTCTCAAATGAGTTGATCTCGTGGAATGCGAAGAAGGCATCTTCTGATTCGTATTTAGCCACCACGCCGCCCTTTGCTGGGTCAATAACATAGAAAAGGGTCTTCCTGTCTGGGTCCCACGCGCGAATAGATTCAACAATGTTTGTAGCTCGCTTGACAAAGTCTGCTTGCCAGACAACCAAGATAATGTGTTTCTCAGTGTGAAACAGCGAATGAATGTATGCTGGCGGCGCGTCGGTAATGTTGGCGATGATTTTGGTTTCGCCTTCTAGGGGTAGATGCCAAATACACGGTAAACAGGGGTTTCCTGTCCAAGTTCTAGTACGTAGTTAAATACTGCACCGTCGTGTGTGACAGTGGGGTGGGCAGCTGATTGACCACTACTTTTGAGGAGAGATTTACTGGCCTCATAAGTAAAGAGCTCGATGGGCTCGAGATTGTCGGGGTTGATCTGCTGCATTTTGTTGCTGTCGGTTGTAGACACCAGGTTTTTACCATCTCCGACTTTCAGGCCGGGCCAATGCCGGATATAGGATACTTGGATGCTGTCCTCGTTATCGTTGCCACGCGTGTTGTTGCCGTCTCTAAAGGTAGTTTCGAAAGCTATAAAGATAACCTTGCAAGGATCTCCACCGAAACTACTACCGGGAAGTAGGCTACGAGAATCATCGCAATCCCTTGTGTTATTTTAACGTTCCTACTAGGAACCCTACGTCTAATCAGTTCAGCAGACTAGTGAATAAATCTTTTATTTTATTTAATTTTTAATTTTTAATTTTTAATTTTTTTTCTAATAAAAAACCGCCTGAGAGTAAATGGTTTTAATATCAGAGACAATAAATATAAGTAAAGCCTAGATACCTGTGGTTTATCTTTACTGCTCCAGGCCTAACAGCGAGTCTGTTAGCGGCGAAGTCGTTTGGGTATCCCTGTAGTGCAATTTGCCAGCTTCTGAGTAGCGCCACCCTAGCTGAGCACAAAATCACCGGTCCGGGTTAGCTACTTCAATAGTGAATGGTAAACGGAGTCATTTTTTCAATAGTATTTCTGTCGCCCCTAACTAAAAGATTCTATTATGGCCCAGAGAAAGTACAAAAGGAAAGGACAGCTCTGATATGCTTGATAAAGTTGCTGAGATATACCGCCACATCGTGCATTTAATCTAACTACTTTCCGTATCGTAAGGTCCAGATAGCTCACCTTGTTTCCGTACTTGGGGTTGAGATACTGACACTCGTTTTATTCTGATTATTCACCACAGTCGCTACAATAGAAATGATCTGCAACGCTTTCATTCTTGCTGCACTAGCAGGAAGTGCCCTTGCTGGACCTTGCAAACCTGGCCATACTTCGTCCAACCATCTGTCGACCAAGACCGTGTCTGGCGATACTTACACTCTTGCCTTGCCCTCTTCTGAGACGTCGATAGACATTGCTTCTCAAGCGACTGATGTCCCAACTACTACTAATTCTCTGGAAGGTATCATCATCACCAACGCGGTAGCCAACGGCAGACTTACTAATGGTATCGAAGGCTTTGATTCTGAAGGCGAGGCCAGCCACCAGAAAGGAGGGTGTTTCAAGGATGACGGCAGCCCTGATGATGGTTGCGCTTCGCTAAAAGCAGTTGGAGACTCCCAGAAACGATTCTTGGGTTCATTCGCGGGCATCTTGCAGCTTCTCTAGTCTTTGCAACTAAGTACTAGTACGTACTACATTGCATTCAGTATATAAGTGTAATAGTAGGCAGTCGCTAACTCCCCGAGCGGTCATTTCCCTCGGGGACATCCCGCGGAGACACGGACCGGCATTAAGATCAACAACTAAAAAGGATTCTAACTAATGCCATCGTGACAATGGATCCTACCCTGACCAAAGAGAATGCGGGGTTCAATGGATCTGGGGCAGGACGTTGCTTTGGGCGACTTCACCCGGTCCAAGCACAATGCCTTGTTACAAAACTAAACATCCATGAGCCGACAAAGGTACCATTGCATGGCCTGGATCAGAGTGAAGTTAAAATGCTGCAGATCTTTGCTCAATGCCACTTCTCTACGTATTAGGCAAACGGGGCTTGAAATAATATAAATAATGCCAAGATATAACTTCATAGATGCTGTAATTATACGACAATCATTCTCTGAGCAGTATCTGAAACCACCAAGATGGCAACGAAAAGTCTTGCAACCTGGGCCCTGGCCCTCCAGTTTGGGAATCTGACCACGCCTGTCGTCGACATGGCTGTCAAGAGTATCTACAACTGGGCGGGCTGCGCTATTGGTGGTTATGCTCTTCCTCCTGCCAGCATTGCCCTCGAGGCCATGTCTCCTTTTGTTGGGGCTGATGGAAACTCGTCCATCTTTGCGACTGGCGACTATGTTGATATGAAGACAGCTGCTCTTATCAATGGAATTGCCTCTCACGCTGATGATTATGACGATACGCACCTCGATACTCCTGTTCATCCCTCTGGTCCCGTGGCTTCTGCTTTATTTGCTGTAGCAGAGTGGTTAGGCCCCGTGTCAGGCCAAGACTTCTTAGCAGCATTTGTCGCCGGAGTCGAAGCCGAGTGTAAGCTTGGAGTTTCCGTGTTTCCCGAACACTACAATGTTGGATGGCGTAAGTCTTTATTAGTGCGCCTTGAGATATAGAGGTTACTGACTAATGGTCCACAGATATTACCAGCACGACAGGCTCTATCGGTGCTGCTGTGGCTGTTGGCAAATTACTTGATCTCGACACAAAGCAAATGCAAAGAGCCATCAGCATAGCCTCCGTCCAAGTCATTGGAATGCATGAGTCATTTGGCACGGATACTAAGCCCTTCCATGTTGGAGCTGCTGCACAAGCCGGTCTTACCTCAGCACTACTCGCCAAGAACGGGTTCGGAGGCTCTCTCAAGGGCTTGGAAGCTGAACGAGGCTGGTCTCACGTAATCAGCACTCGCCAGAACCTGACAGCCGAGTTCTCTACCTTCGACAAGGTCTGGGAGGTCACCAAAAATCTATTCAAGCCTTATCCTTGCGACAGAATCGTTCACGCTGCCATCGATGGCTGGATTGAAATCCATAACCAAGCAAAGAAGAAGAATCTCGATATCAACAAAATCACAAACGTCACCGCTCGTTGCGCCCCTCGCGTGCTCTTCTTGACGGATAATCCCAAGCCTGAGACAGGTCTTTCAAGCAAATTCAGCGTGTACCACGCAGCAGCAGTGGCGCTTCTGTATGGTGAGGCCACGCCGGTTCAGTTCACCGATGCAACCGTACAGAACAAGACTGTCATCAGCCTACGTGACAAGGTATCCGTGAAAAGCGATGAAAAGGTCGACGAGCATGAGGCGTTTGTTGCAGTTGAGTTTGAAGGCGGCGAGAAGCTTGAAGTCCATATCGAACATGCCCTTGGAAGTTATGAGAACCCTCTTTCTGAAGAGTTCCTCCAAACTAAGTTTCTGGAACACGTTGGTAATCAGATTGGCGAGTCAAGGGCAAAGAAGGCCTTGAAGGCATTTGCGGGCATTGCGAACTCAACTGATGTGGCGAAGATTGCTCGGGATTTTAAGGAGTGAAATGTGTAAGTTCGCTAGTAGGTTGTATGATACACAATTAGTAGCCAGAATATTAGTACGTACGGGGGCGAGTATATAGACTATATAGGCGAAGATAGTCTAGGTTGAACTGTATAGCACTTAAACATCGCTTCTCAGTAACATTACATTGAATCAGTAGCTGTCCCGATGGTTAATGAAGCTTATATAGCCAGTTGTTAAGGATATATCCAGAGTTTAAGACAAATCGCATATGAGAGCTGAACGAATATATGAGAACTTTAAACAGGCCAAACAGTTAAACAGCATCTATTAACTCGATATCTCCACTTCCCTAAAGAAATACAAGTCTATTGTTAATAATTCGGAAAGTGACTGTGTACTATGGAATAAAAGTCGGATGGAAGCAACGCATTTTATGCACAGCCGAAACCCAATATTAGGGCAATTAGCAAAGCAAAAAAAAGAAAAGGTCCTGTGTAAGCATCGGAGCCATGGTGCTTGAAAAGTGTAACTCAAGATGGAAACCTTATTATCAGGTGTACTATGGAAGTAAGATAACCCTATCAGTAGACTGTGTAATAAAGCGTGTTGTTGTGTTCTTGAATACGCAGTGCGGGCTCTATTAAATATATCATCTTTCAACCCTACATAGTTGTATCAGAAGAAGTATCATCCTATGAAATATATAGTTTAGACAAATGCAAGTTTGTTGTTCTATTAAGCTATCTACCACAGGCGAGTTGTAGGATCCTTTGCATTCGCTATTGCTCATTTTACAGAACATATCTGAAGTCCTTGTTCTCGAATTCGGTCTGGTCTCTCATTCCAGCCTCGTTACTCCTCTCCTTGTTAGGAGGACCGTATGTCTTGTTGCGGTGTTTGTTGATGAGGAACATGTAGACTGTAGGCAAGGTATTAGTAATATGGAGACGATTTGGCACACGTCAAAGTTACCCAGAAGTCCAAGGTGGCAGCAGAACTTGATGGCGTATCCTACTAGTAGTCCGATAGTGGCACCGGGGAAGTCAGGAGCTTCCGACTTCTTGACGACAAAGGGACCCGCAAAGTTACCCCAACAGTAAGCCGAACTAGTAAATCATGTTAGAAAGGTTCAGAGATTTAAAGGATCTTACACTTACAAGACAAGCGCGCTAGCAAGTGAACGATGAGTGTAGCCAGCCATGTTGGAGGAAATGGTAGTCAGAGACACGGTGAAACCAACTGATTGGGTGTTAACGAGCCAAAAGCAGACAAGCCTGCCCCAAGTATTATCTCTGGGAAGATAAGCCATGCATGCGGCAGAGATGGTGCAGATCATGTTGGCAACGGTTGCAGTAATAAGACGAGCTGTGGAACAGTTAACTATTGATCTTCGCACTAGATGAGGGTTCAACTAACAGTTTGGAACGGTGAGAATGATGCTGCCGCCGATAAGTAAGCCGATAATTTGGACAGCGTCACCAACAGACTTGAGCTGAGTGGTCCTGGTAGTGCTAAAGCCCATATCACGGATGATGACAGTGGAGAACGAGTTGACGACGCCATTAGGGATGGCACTATGAAAGATGTCAGGTTAGTCAAGCAACAATCATCGTGATGACAAGGTTTGGACATACGCAGCGAATACTGAGACGAAGAGCAAAAGTGTCTTGGGGTCTGTAAAGCCAAGGACAACCTGACTTTTATCAAAGGCCTTGTTCTTGATACCTGTCTCGTTGCCTGCAACTCGTTTGACAGCGATCAAGCGCTCGCGGTGGTTGAGAAATCTTGCATTTGAGGGTGAATCAGGGAGGAGGAACCAGATGACAAAAGCCCAGAGGCAGGTGGCACCGCCGAGCTGTGCGATATGTCGGTCAGTGTTTGATCGTTGAGTTTCGGGCTGATGTGTAACGTACAATGTAAAAGATGAGCTCCCAGCGCTCGGGCTTGAGGTCGACGGGAAGTTTGGAAACGCCCATGGAAATATATGAGCCGATCTAAGGAACAGAGTGTCAGAGTCCCCCTTTCGTGTTACTGGACACCATGAATACAACTTACGATACCACCCCAGCCGAGTGACGAGTACCAGATACACTGACGAAGAGGGATCTCTCGTCTAGTGTACCAAAAGCCCGTCATGAGGGTCAAACCGGGTGTCACGGCGGCTTCGAAGACGCCCATAATGAATCTTACGGCCAAAGCGCTCGAGTAGTCGCGGCTCTGCGTCATGATTACAACCATGAGACCCCAAAGGAAGACGCTGATGGCCATGACTTTCTGCGCAGGAAAGCGACCAATCAACCATCCACATGGGTATTGTCCGAAGAAGTAACCAGCATAGACCACTGAAGCACCACTATTAACACCATTCAACTCGCAAGGGTATTGAAGGAGACTGACTTGCTGAAAGATAATTGAACTGATTTCCTTTCAGACCCAGGGCCTCCTGGTACCCGAAGAGATTGGCATAGTTGAGCGAGGTCTTGTCCATAAATTGGAGGGCTTGCGTGACGAGGAACATGGGGAGGATGATTAGGTCGAGCTTCCAGCGGAGTTTCTTAGCCTAGAATTGTATCAGTAAACATCATGGCTATGGAAGGAGAGTATCTGGCGAACCTCGGCATCTGAAAACTCGATATCTCGAGCCTCGAGGTACTGGTCATAACCGACAGCATTCTCGCGCTCGTTCTCATTCATGTCCAGCCGATTGCCTTTGAGCTCCGAGTTCTCAAGAGCCTCAACACTCGGACGGGTTTCGATGTTGGCCTTGTTCAAGTCTGCCATTGTTGTTGACTTTCTTGCGGTGTAAAGAGATGGAAGGAAGAGAAGATGGGTTGACAAGGCTGGGGATGAGCGGGACAAGGGGAAGTTGGGGTAGTATTTAAGAGACGCATGGTTGGAGAGAGTAATAAAAGTCTTTCAGACGATCTGGGGTAGCCCAAGTCCATAACTTCTCGACCTCTACCCCATGGGGGTTGGTACATCCCCACATCAGGAGTGGCCAATAGCGCGGATAAAGGGAGGTCGTGAGCCGATCATTCCCCGCGGCGACTCTCCACGGTTATGAACCGATCATTCAAAGACTATGCTGGTGCCTGTTACGAGGCCCAGGCTCTCATTCATGACTATACACTACCTCTGATGAATCTGTACTATCGGAAGCAGTTAGCAACTGGTATCTCAACTTTCACTCTCCATTTTCATTTTTCATTACCACACCATGGGCCAATCATCTTCAAATCAATCTAGCAGCGACACCTACCTAGCCCAGCCGAGTGGTAGCTGTTGTCTCAAAGGCACCATCCACGAGGGCCAATCTAGAGGCACTTGGGAGACCATCGCGGACGTTGAGACCTACATCTCAAAGCCCAACCCTGAGAAAGACAATGGAAATATACTCCTCTACTTTCCAGACGTATGGGGCATGTTCCCCAATGGGTTGCTGGTCATGGACGCCTTCGCCGATGCAGGGTACTTGGTCCTTGGTCTGGACTACTTTCGTGGGGTACGGTCATAACCCTTTATGCGCTATGTGGATGAATACGCTATTGACAGTCTGATGTAGGACCCTGTTTGGAAGCACCGGAAAGATCGCCATACCCAGAATCCAGATTTCGATTATGAGGCCTGGAAGCGGAAGCACACGGCATTCGCAGACGAGGCAGTTCCCAAATGGGTTACCGCTGTAAAGAAGGCCTACAGCACAAGTACAACGAAGTTTGCTTGTGTTGGTTACTGCTTTGGAGCGCCGTACGTCTGTAATGAACTGAAAGGCGATACTGTGACAGTTGGAGCATTTGCCCATCCGGCATTCCTCAAAGAACATCATTTCACTGACCTTAAGAGTAAGCGCAAGATGATAGATACGTGAAAGAACTGACGTATCGCTGACTGTACTTGTGCAGAGCCTTTGTTTCTCTCATGTTCAGAAATTGATCATACGTTCGATGTTCCTTCCCGACGACGAGCGCTGGACATTTTACAAGATAAGAAGAAGATCTTTCATTACCAGGTCTTTTCTGGTGTTGAGCATGGATTTGCTCTCAGAGGAGATCCGAAGGATCCCTACCAACGTGAGTGCCGTTATCTCTGTCGACCTTGGATGAGTCGTGCTAATGCGGGTAAAGGCTGGGTTAAGGAACAAAGTCTGGCGAGTATTGTAGCATGGTTCAACTACTGGTTATCGAAATAAAAACTACTGCTAAGCAAACGAACCTGTTAAGATAGAGTATAGATTACAACCATTAACTGCAATAAATGTATTTTCTATTAGACTACTGTTTATCCTTACAAAGTAACTAACTACATAATCAGCTTAAGGTTTTATTAGCTGAAAAACCCCAAGGTATGCTTGTTAAGAATGATTATTTAAGAATATATATAACAATAGAGATAATTAAGTAATGCGTTCTCTTTTAAGTTTTTTCTAAGCATAAGCCTCGTAGTATAGAGATCCAAACAATACATTTAATAAAGAAAGTCCTGTACTATTTAGAACACAGTATAGATTAATGCACCAGGGAAAAGAAAAAGAAAATAAAGAAAAAAAGAAAAAGGCGCTGAAAGCAGTGGGTACCAGACCCTAGCGGACGGAGAACCTGAACCCCTTCATCCCCGCCATTCATTATTGGAACTTCGGCAAACCAACGCCACCCACTCGAAGAGTTCGGCGATTGCCCGCGCTGCTTCTCCGGTGGGGTATCCCGCTGTGGGACCTGGTAATCGGCCGAAGCAGATACAAATGAGACGTGATTCGGTTGACAAGAATGAGATATTTATTGAACGAAGAATAACTAATTCTATATTGGATATCCGAAGCAACAACAACACTACTCATCTGACTCTTAAGCATCACCTACTTTCATAATGACACCACCACGAGGCTTCGACTTTACTGGCGATGTGGCTATTGTCACAGGAGCTGGCTCCCGCATGGATGGCAAGTTCCCACAAGCGCCACGTCTCTTACATCTATCGCATTAACACCTAATATAGGCGAGATTGGCAATGGCCGTGCGGCTGCCATCCTCCTTGCCCGTCACGGTGCTAAGGTCGCTTTGGTTGACTTTAACGTGGACTGGGCCAAGGAGACGAAGCGAATGATTGACGAGGAAGGTGGCATTTCCGAGGTTATCCAAGCCGATGTGACACAAGAGGAGTCGTGCAAGAATGCTGTTGATAAAACGGTAGAAATGTGGGGAGCTCTTCACATTCTTGTCAATATTGGTACGTAAAAGTTTACCTTGTAATGGCGGCATCTTTTGACTAACTGGGAATTAGTCGGCGTGGGCGGGGCGATCGGTGATGCTACCACAATCAACCTGGATGCTTGGGAGAGAGATTTCCGCATCAATGTCACTAGCATGGTGATGATGAGTCGACACGCTATTCCCGAGATGAGAAAGCAGGGTCGAGGATCCATTGTTAACATGTCCTCCGTGAGCGGATGTAAGATACCATACCCGATCGAAATTTCAACTCCATCAGGCTAACGAGAGATGGTGCAGTACTTGGCGGAAATCCCAGCTTGCTCTACCCTACCACCAAGGGAGCCATCATTCAAATGACACGTGCCATGGCTGCTCACCATGGGCGTGAGAACATCCGCGTCAATTGCGTTGCTCCCGGCATGGTCTTTACACCCATGACAAGAGGGCGTGGCATGACAGATGAAATGAGACAAGCCAGAATTAACCAGAACTTGATGAAGAAGGAGGGAACTGGATGGGATGTCGGTTATGGTAAGTCAGAGCAACGGATCTCTGTCGCGGCAGTGACGCTAACGATACAAGCTATCTTGTTTTTGGCTAGTAAGGAAGCTGGTTGGATCACAGGTCTTATCATGCCTGTCGATGGAGGAGTAAGTCTCACTGCAATACAAAACCGTGTTGACTCTCACTAACGAACTACTGCAGACAACAGCTGGTAAGGCGGACAGACCGGCTCTGAAGGCTGACACATTGGCTGCGGAAAACACGGGCGTTTCGAACTGATATCCATGTCAAGATTAGAGGGGTAGAAATTGAGCCACAATTCTTTGCACTTGATTCCACAATTGCCGTTATTTGGGCAAGTCCACTATGTATCGTGAAGGTTCTTGTAGCTTGACCCCTAATCCACCGTTCATAAATTTCCGCGAGCTTGGCCATCCTTTTTATTCTCACCCGTCACAAAACCGCCAAGTCAGCGCCTACTCTGGTGCTTGTCTCATGATCTCATCAAAGTCAATCTGTAGCTCAGGGTAGCAGTCCAATGAAGCCATTGCATCCATACTCATACTATTAGTATACGCGCCCATGTCAAAATCATTCGGACTCACTGGATCCAGGTATGGAAACGCAGGGATGTAGCTGTTCATAGTAGCCAAGACTACATTGTCGGATAACGATTGATCAAGTGTTGTTCGCTGAACGGGGCTTCGCTTCAGACCTTTCACGATGATGTGTAGACTCCGCTCGAGAAGGGGACATTTCGCCATGCCTCGATTGAGCGCTCTTAAAAAGGTCTGCATGGTGGGATGTGTTGCCCCGTCGTTGTTCTTAGCCTCTTCGAGTACCGCTGATGCACCCGTGTAAATGCAGTAGCCCATGAGATAGGTGATGTTTTCGAACCCAAAGGTTGATTCCAACAACAGCAGGAGTTTCTCCATGATTCGGGCTGCGTTCATGCAAACTTGATAGTAGCTCGGGGCAGACCAGAACGGACGATGAGCTAGGATGACAGTAGTATAGTAGAGTATACTAGTTAGAATCGTTAGCAACGCAACCTAAGAAACACGTAATGCAAATGGTGTGATCCACGTACTTTTGTGAGATTATATGTGGGGGTGGACAAGTTGTGGGCAAGTTATCAGGATCATATCGAAGATGAGCTGGCGACTCAGCCCGCCAAGCATCCAGGCGAACCTTGATATCGTTTAAAGACGACTCAGTAATGGCCCTACTTCGTTTTGAGTATAGTTGAACGATGATATCGTTTATTATAACCGATAGCTTGCATGAATTCGCAAAGCATGAGACTGCATGACTTTTCATAACTGGGTATTGACCAGGGCTAAGTCGAGTCAATGGTGAGGTATCTTCATGGTAGGGTGACCAGATTTCAGATTCTGCTGTATCGTCCACTGAAGAAGACATTAGTATATGATGCATAGTCACCCACGAGGCACTTACTGAAGTCGATGGGGCCCTGCGGTAACTCTGTCACTGCAGGAAGCCTTCCTGTATAGAGGCTGATAGCTCTATGAAGTATATAGTTAGTAAGGAAGTCTTTTCCGTAGATGAAGTAAACTCACTTATCCCAAAAGTAACAACTCCAGAACAGCCTCTTGCGAATTTCCAGGTCCACTGGATCAAGTCCTTTCAGATCAGCAATATCTGGTCCATTATGCTGCAGGCCAAGATCGGCGGCCATCCTGAATGCCATACCACTATACAACCAAGCCTGAGATATAGCCCCTTGGGCCAGTTCACGGGCACTCAGTTGAAGTAGGGCTTGGATAGTAGGTATAGAGCTTGGCTTTTGTATCTCTTCGCCAAGGAGGAGTCGAACACGGGAGGAAAGAAGTTGTGCATGGGTGCTGTCATGGTACTTGGAGGCATGAGCGCACAAGACGAGGAGAAGTAGTTCGGAGTAATAACGGCCGCCGGTGGTCATATCCCCTAGAGGAATTGAAGATTAGCTACGTGTGTCAACAGTCAGTCGCGCGGCAGTACATACGCATGAATGCTGGTCTATATACCCACATGAACATAGGAGCAACCCATGTCCAGTGTAGATGGAGCAGTTTCGCCATTACCTGACGGGGCAGTCCAAGCTGAAGGGCAGCATTCCCCAGAGCAAATTCCTCCCAGATGGTAGATTCCCGTGCTCGCGACAAGAGGTAGGCGCGCACGTCGGTCCTCTTTGAGCTATCACCAAGGCTTAATGAGTTTGTAGATGGCGAGGCCAGTCCGACAGGCTCATGAACAGCAGACGTCGGTCCGTAGTAGCAGATCTTGCCATGTTCGTCCACGCTGAGATCAATAGCTAACGGTTCTTGAGGAATGTTATCTATGGCTGCTGTCGATCGAGGAGCATCTTGCTGGTCTCTGGAGTAGGTTTGGTGTGTTGCAGGTGAAGACTCTGATACGGCTGGCTCCACGCTGTTTCCTGGCGGTGGTATTTGGCTGGAAGTTGAAGCCAGAATGACGCTTTCAGCAGCAGGGACGCTTATGTCCTGTTGATAATTGGTAGGTATATCGGCGCTCTGAAGACGCTCGATGGTCTCTTCAGCTTCTTGAAGTCTTTTGGCCATGGCGACGACCTGGGAGAGCGCTGGGGGTTTGTCATAGTGACATTCAACATGGTAGACTTCGCATGTCTTGCAGGTTGGTTGACTGCCTTCACACCGCACCTATGTCAAAAAAAAAGAGTCAGTCAGGAGTAAATAAAATGATAGCCCATTCTAAGTAAAGTGATTGATAGAGTAAATGAATAGTTGTCACCTTCTTGGCACGACAATTGGCACATGTCAAACCTCGAGCTTTTCTCGAGAGGCGCTGCTTTTTGGAGCGGCCTAAGCCTGTAGGACCCTGCGACCCAGACCCTTGTCCATCGGTCTCCATGGCTTCAGAGGCATCAGTACTGTAATTGCGGGTTTTGAGACAAGCTTGAACCACGCAGATGAAGGCAGAAGAATGAAATCAGAAGCGGGGTATCTTGTTACTCGTTGATGCTGTTTGAAGATGTGGAGACAATGAATGTGATTAGTTCGGTCAGTCTCCGCGGCGTATATGCGGGGATGGGTGCGGAGTTGGAATGGTCTAGTTCAAGCAAGCCATGATCGACTGATTCCATGCCTTGACTTGTAATGCAATGAAGCAGAGCTATTATTTTAATAACAACTGACATCCCTCTCCATAAGCAAATAGTCACCCACCCATAACGTCATTGAACGGCAGTCATCATGAGAGTCCCCTACGTCCCCAACCCTCCCCCAACCTCCTCCGCCGAAGAGGAATCCATAGTTGCGGCGATTGCGGCCCGCCGTCATCCCCGCCCAATCCAGCCACTCGACTTAGCATTGCTCCACTCCCCTCATGTTGCGGCTGGTTGGAACTCCTTTGTGGGAGCCGTTCGCACCAAGACCTCGCTCGCCGACGACTTGAGGGAGCTTGCCATCTGTCGCATCGCCGTTGTGAACAAAGCCTGGTACGAATGGATGCACCATGCGCCACTGGCTGTAAACAGCGGTGTCAGGTCTGAGACCATGAACGAGATTTTAACACAGGAGGCTCTACCCAAGAGCGCACAGCCAGATGGTTTTACTGAAAAACAGTGGGCAGTCTGTGTTGTAGCGGATGAAATGACGAGAAATGTCCAGGTCAAAGATGAGACTTTTGATTGGCTCAAGAGCCTTGCTGGCCACCAAGAAGTAGTAGAAGTTGTTGCGACGGTATGTCCAACTCAGATCTGTTAAGATTAAATCTAATATGATTTTACTTAGGTTGCATGTTACAACTGTGTGAGCCGCTTTCTTGTAGCTCTAGACGGTAAGTTTACTACTTTATCCTGAAACAATTGACTATTTTGCTTTGGGTCTGGTATTAATATTATTAGTGGGAGAGAGAAACGGCACTAATCCGACACCTTTGCCGAAGTAGGACATAGGAAGAGATACTTAATCAATGAAAAGATATTTACCTTTATTTATAATTAAATAAACCGTAATTAAGCATAACTTTTGTAATTAATTTCTTACGATATATACCTACAGGTGTTATTGCAATACCTTGCTCTGTATAAAATAAAGTAGTATAAAGTTCTATAACAAGCATATACTATAGATTAAATCAGCCTGGATTTTTAAATACTCTAGTCTTACTAAATGCTTCAGCGGAGATTCTTGTTTAAATAAATATATAGCGTTTATTTTATCTTCTTAAACTATGCACTAGAGATAAAGGTCTATTTAAATTGCTTAAAGGTTAGTTTACAAGTTATAGAGGCAATACTTCAGACAGTTAGCTATTGATCTTTGTTAAAACTATATTTACATTTGCTACTGTAAAATTAGATGCACCTTTAGCAACGCTTAACTTGCATCGGTATTGAGTTATGTTTCCATTAGCTAGATTACAACCTTAACAGTATATATAACAATCACTATACAGGTTTCGACGGCGACAGAGCGCAGGAATCCGAACAGGCGTTCTCAAGATGTTGATACTTTTAGTCACATAAGTGCTTCTGAAAGACTATGCTAAAATATAACAACCATTTGTACAATCCCCTGACAAACTTAGTCAAGCCAAGTCGCTTCATAAGGCGTACCGTTGTCAGGGTATCGCAGAGAAGCGACAACATCGAGAGTGTGATTCGACGGGGTCCAGCCGAGAATGAACATCCAACCCTCGGACGTGTCACTTAGATACATGTAGTCCGTGATGCCGTTGGGATCACTGTTCGTCTCATCTTGCCATGGAGCCACGCGCAAACCACCAGCGGAGCCGAGCGTCACAGGCGCCTCGTAAAATGCTACAGCCTTCTCCTGCTTCAAGAGTCCAGCATCGTTCAGAGCAAACGCCGCCACATATCCGTTCGCTTCTGTATTGTTCCAACTGCGAGTACTGGTGAAAAGATACTTGCCGTCGCGTGACATCTGGACTGTATTGCTGCGGAAAGTGTAAAGACCTCGCACATCTGCTATTGTAAGTCTGGCTATTCTGTTACTTGTGGAGGGGGGAAGATAGCTCACCATCGGGGATAGCACTGCCTCGTTGCACATGTTCAAGACGAGTGTCTAGGACCTTATATACGTCCAACCATTGATCTGAATTGTTAGAAAGAATCCTATCGTTGATTTGATTAAAAGGTTTCAACTTACTGTGCTCAGTCATCTGTACAGGACTTGTTAGTATTATTTATACTTAGACCAATCCATAATTAGAACGACTTACTACATAGAGAAGCTTTCCATCTTTGCTGGAATACGAGTTTCGCGGTCCGTCACCCTCAGTAGGGCTGAGGTTGATCGACAAAGGCGTAGCAGTACCGTTTTTTGCAATGTCATACATAAAGATGGAGTTCGTACCGCTGGCCTGGATCAGTTACTGCAGTAGGATGCGACTAGAATTTGTACTCACAGGTGGGGAACAAAGCCCTTTCTATTAACGTTGATGTCGAAGGCATGAGCGCCATAAAGCTTTGGATTAATTGTTAGCATTGACGCAGTATGAGCGACCAAATAATCTTTTGAACCTACCACAGCAGCCCTTGTCTTGTTCACGTTCACGATTTCTTCCTTGGGGACCATGTAAAGCTCTTCCACTTGCTTGCCGATGCTGCCGTCCTTGTTGAGATCATGAATGGCAGCGGTTGAACCACCAGATGAGAAAGCCAAGTTGCCATCATCAGAAAAGTAGCAAGACGAGGAAGCTATAGTCTTGTCAGCGGTCTCAAATCGTATTCATTAATAGTCAAAAGCTTACTGATATTAACAGTGTCGAGATGAGTAAACTGATAGTTCTTGTCAACTGCCCATGAGAATAGCTGAGGGGGCTCGGACATAGCAGTTGCATAGACACGATCTTTAGCGGCATTGGTGGTGACAAATTGATGAAGTCCAAAGCCAGGTACCGTGGAGTTGAGAGTTAAAGTCCGAGCAATTGTATCAAAAGCGAGAAGGAAAAGAGTCTTGTTTGTGTAAGACCCGGATACGAGATGGTGGACGGAGCCCCCGTAGGAACTGGCGAACTCAATAGCAGGCATATTGAAGAGGCTGAACCAGGATTCTTTGTTAACGAGCTGTTGTGCCTTTCGAATTGATCGTCGAAAAAGTACCGGCTTGGCCTGACTTATATAGCGCTGGCAAGAAAGCTACCCCGGATCGTAATTCATAAACCCCACGGTCTTCCGGCCGCTACAAAAGCCTTCCCCGCATCATCGACCTGGGGTTTACTGCTATTCCCCACAGAGTTTGCCCTCAATTGTTCTGAAGCCGGGATCAAGGTATTGCATAGTTCATGGGTAGCAACGGATGGCGACCGCGGGAGTTTGCCGCGGAGACTTGGTCAAATTGCATAAGTTAGGTAATGTTATCTCCACAGTTATAATCCGTCATAAATTGACTTCGACGCTATTTCATTTATTTATAATAAATCGTTCAATGACTATGTGACGTTCGGCGTGATTGATTCGTGACCTGGCTGTATAAAAGAAGCTTAGCCAAACCATGGGGGTTCCACGACACATTCGAAGCTCAGGGCAACACCTTTAAAACTGCAACGTGGGAGGTTATTCACTCTTCCATTTAGATTACATCTATCATCCGCTGCTACAGGCATTCTTCTTGCTATTCACCCCCCAAAGCTCCAACGCGTTATCTCTAAAAAGCCTCTCTCGCAACCACTGTTTTCCTTCAGTCAAGTCTAGTAGATGAGATACCCAAGGCTTGACGTCCAGCCCCTCGAACCGGGTATGAGGCCAATCGGAACCGAATACAACTCGCTTCGGGGCTTGATCAAAGAGCTCCAGAGTCACGGGGTCAAGGTCCTCCCAGATATTTGATTCAAGATGACTTAGGCGATACGCTCCCGAGATCTTGACCCATGTCGTCCCCGTTTTCAAAAGGTTCACCAGAGACTTGAATCCTTTGATCTTATAAGGGTCGATAGGCTCAGATGACTTTGGGAGTGAGGGGTCGCCGTAGTGGTCAAAAACAACACGCACACCCAAAGTTGGTAGGAAGTCCTCTAGCTCTGTGATACGCTCCATTTTGGTGTACAGTTGAAGCACCCAGTCGAAAGGCTTGATAAGATCGACATAGCTTTGGATTTGAGTCTTGAGCTCGCTAAGAGGGGTATCATCGCCGTACGTTACGAGATTGACTCTCACGGCGCGGACACCCTCACTGTCCCATCTTCGAATGTGCTCATGCGATGTGGTATTTGGATTGAACAAGGCAAGTCCTAGTGCACGTTCATTTCCAACAGCGCGCATGGAATCCAACATCAGAGTCAAATCGTAGCCATGCGTTGCGGTCTGAACGAAGAATACATGGTCACAGCCAATGCTGTTCTCGAAAATTGCATTTTCCCAAAGGTTATGAACAGCGGGCTTATAGGGGATATCTTCCACTGGAGGATAGCGCACTGGATCCATAATGTGGAGATGTGAGTCCCACGCCCCGGCCGGCATTCGAGGATCCGCGCCAGAGGAATAATTGCCTACCCTCTTCGCAACTGACAGAGGGGGTGAAGGTGGGAGTGATAGGCTCATGGTGGAAGCGGCGGTGTTAAAGATAAACAATAGATAGGTATATGAGGCTTTCATGATAGGATTTAGATAGAAGAGTACGAAGCAACGGGGAGTGTTATATCTCCAAGCTGAGACACGGAAGGAAAAATTATTATCTCCGCTGGTGGTCCGGCGCGGAGTCTATTGTTTTTAGCTTACATGTCTGGGGAAACAGGACATGTTGCGACAAGTATGGGGCCGAGTTATTGTGAACAGGCACCGCGGGGAGTATCCGAGATATCGCAGATCAACCCTCTGTTTGCACGGACCCCAACTGTTGATAGCTCATAACCGGCAGGGTGGGGTGTGAGCTACGGCTAACCTCCGCGGACTTTAGCCACGATCTACAAACTTGAATTGAGTGTTACTATCGGCTATTGATAAAAGTTGGTAAAAGTGACATGATAACAGTTATTAAATTTCAGCCTTTGAGGGGATGACTATTTACTGACATTTTTGACTATAGTTGATGTAGTAAGAAAGAAAATAGAACCAGACGAGAGCTCTATATTCTCGATTGTCAACCCTCTGTCGACTAAACTATTGAATCTCACTTAGCTTGACCCATCAGATCCGAGTATTAGTCCAACATGTCATCCCACATTAGGGTCAATATCTTACTTATGGCCCAGTCAGGAGCAGTCAGGAGCAGTCAGAGCTACATTCTCTATGACTTTGTGCTTGATGTTGTCCTTCTTGTTGTGGGGGCGCTCCTTGACCACTTTAACGTATGTTTTGCGCATTGCGGGGAAGAATTTTGTTAGCCAATAGCAGAACCCTCCACAGCCTCCGCCGTAATCGCCCGCCCGTACTTCACTACTCTATCATAAACCGCCTTTTTAATAGCTGCTTCAAAATTATATCTCATTCTCTTGAAATCATGCCAAAACACCCGACTGCCATTGTTTCACACGGAGATATTAATCCAAGCCCACTAGAAATCTACGGCCAAGATGGAGATGTCCTGCTTCGAATTGGGTATGGTATCAACCCCACTTGTCTGATATGTCACTGCTTCTGATAATGCTTCAAGAAACGGCGGTGCAGGTGCGACTGGCTTAATTAAGGAGCTTGCCCAGGACTACTTGAAGTCTCGAGACATAGATGGTAGAATTTCCTGGGTATGCAACCACTCGCGAAACACCCAGCTAGCCCTGCTGAAAGGCTATGTCGACTTTGCCTTGACTTATGAGCGAGACCAGGAAGCTCTAGCCGAAGCGGAGGGATGGTCGTATACGGCTGGGTGCGTCTTCCACGACCACTTTTGTCTCGCAGGACCTCTCTCAGATCCTGCGGGGTTGGCATCCACAACTTCATTAGTTGATGCTTTTGAGAGAATCGCGGCCAGCGGCACCCTTTTCCATAGTCGCGCAGACCTTTCCGCCACAATGTGGAAAGAGCGCGCTATCTGGTCCCTGTCCGGTCGAACACCATGGGAAGATAAGTCGTCATGGTACAGAACAAGTGTGCTATCACCATCAGAAGCGCTGAAAGTGGCTGATACAGCCGGTGCTTACTTCTTGACTGATCGATCAACCGTTTTACGACAAACAGGCCTCGGCAATATAGTTAATTCGACGATCTTCTTTGAACCGTCACACGCCGAAGACGTGCTGATGAACAGTTGCTATGCTTTGTTCTCTCCGAAGGTAGATAACATTTATGTACACGATTTCTTTACGTACCTTGTCTCGCCTCGAGGCCAAACGGTGATTGGTGAGTATGGTATCACCCAGACAGGATTACCTCTGTTCGCTCCTGTACAAGACGGCTTGGCATTGACTCGACTGTGTGGAGGACGTCCGGTCAATGGCAAGTGGATAAAGCGCACTGATCTAGACAAAGCAATACTATAAGTCGATAGCTCACTAAATTCAGGGCTACAATTACATCTCAAGTCCCTTTTCTGAAACGTCAAAGGCCTTTGAAGGATCTGCTATTCCTAGCCTTCGTTTACCCTGCCAGGGCGTTTAGGCTTGCATACATCCTTATCTAGAATCTTTTGGTCATACCACCCCGATGTGTTTCCACCTTGTCTTTGAGTTTCACTTTGCCCTCCCGTGTCTTCCAAGGGGAAAGAATATCTGCAAACTTCCTCCAACCTCAAGAGTATTGCGACAACAACTAATTAAGTTGTCCCTTTATCAGCCTTTTAGCGATACGGTCACGTCATCATCGAACATAGACATACTAGCCGATACGCAATTTAACTCGATCGGGGCGCCAACGGTTTCTGGGTGTATTGAAATACAGGGTGTTCCAGTGGTATCGAAAGCTGCAATCGAACTTCGTAAAGTCCTTCCATCTGAGAAAAGAAACAGTCATTTATCGAAAATCATCATGCAGAATTTGCAGTCTGCACAGCTCGTGATTCCCTGAACGGGCTCCAGCTACCGGACAGATCGGCCAATAGTAAATGTTCCATTATCCATTGATTTCACTCCTAGAAACGCTGCTCGGTTGGATTTTCGAAAAAGCTTGCCGTTATTTACAATAGCAATTTCTCGGTCAGCGCAGCAAGCTCCTGTATTGGAATAAACACAAGCCACGAATCTCCACCTCCCCAATCTTCCCCTTGAGATGATACGTCAATCGGCATCAGAGACCCTGATAGAAAGCATTCACCAGACATTCCCAACCTCGTCAACCTCCGAGGTATAGGTTAATCCGGCCAAGAAGCGCGGGGTCCCGATCATGTTATGTCTCGGTCCACATTGCGCTAGCCACGCTAAGCCTCTTTCGCATTGATAACCGCTGAATAAGCTCAAGCCACACGGAGCTACGGCCCCGGAGCCGTACCCCGTACCCGGCGATCTGATAACGACATCTATGCCGAGAATGGTCCGTCTATGTCGGTATATAAACGGCTACCGGCATACTTTCCTCTGTTCTTCTCTCATTATCTCTAATCCTATCCATATACTCCAAGAGTACGTTAGATCGCTCCCTACAGTAACATTACAGACTAACATATCCAGTGTCTAACAACAAGATCGTTCCTCTCACCATCATCAAGGGCGCTGGCCACGAGCACATCCCCATTCCCGAGGGAGAGTGCGCCATCATCGCCGACTTCCACTCCGTCAAGTCTCAGAGCGCTCACTCCACTCCTTACTTGACAACCGGCTTCTACAGAGTTGTTCCCGGACCTACGAGATACGGCGAGTACGACTACGAGGAGACCAAGTACGTCCTCAAGGGTCAAATTGACATCACCGATGAGGCTACTGGCAAGACACACCATCTTGTTGCCGGAGACTGGGCTTTCTTCCATGTTGGCTCCAAGGCTCAGGTTAGTCCTCCAACCCACTCAATTATTGAGCATTTACTCATTACCTTATAGTTCTCTACCAAGACTGAGGGTGTTGCTTTCTACGCTGTTACCCGACCCAAGAACGACGGTCACCCCAACCTTGTTGGCCGCGAGGAGGATGTCTCCAAGTTGTAAAAGTCGTGTTATCATAGCCTGTTAATGAATTAAAACAACTCTTTAATACCCCATCAACCTATCAATCATAAACGAGAAACAGTCACTCTGTATTGCTTGAGAATGGATTGTGAAGCTGCAGCTAACCCAATGTTGTAGCAGGAGTCTTACCCTTGTCACTAATATTTACCCTGAACCACCAGCTAAACATCCTTCAATCGCTCTACTCCAGCATAGCTAACCATGTCATGAATCTTTCCTGTTTTCCAATCGTCAATTGCGTTTGAAGTAAAGACATACAAATTATCCGTACTACCAACAGGAATATTATTATCCTGTACGGCTGTTATACTAGTTCGAGATACTCAACAAAGCTGGTTATTGTTTTGCCCGACGCGCCCTCTGCCAGCGGACCAACAAAAATATTGGAGGGATTCACAAACCACCCTTACCTTATATCGATAGTCTCATACCAATGTCTCATCCTTCATACAAAGAAAAGTGAAACATGACAACAACAACTTGATTGCCAGCCTTACATATGGACATATGGACTATAATTGGCAAAGCCCAGTCATTGTCATTGCGCTGATTCGGGTAACTGCGAGCGAGACAAGAGACCCATTCTTTAGGGCTTGTTGGTTCTCGACCGAGCAGGGTATACGTTCCTGCATACAGGGGATTTTGCATCGTCGCCACTTTTAATGCGAGATTGGACATCCTGATCCCGAGGCCAGTATGTCATACCGCAAATTCAAATGTGTTTCTTTTTAAACCCGATGTATATGCACTTGTATCGCTCGCACGTCCTTGTCTCTTTCACAGTATCCCCGTTCGGCCACCAGCAACGCTCGAATCACCACAGAACATGTCAGCTTCAGGTGATTGGGGACCTGCGCCCGAAGGAATTGACCTCACGGAACAACAAGATGGAGAAATCCTCAGACCTGTCATAGCATTGGTGACTATGGGCATACTGGCAGTAGCAATCCGATTCGTCGCAAGGTTCAAGTCAGGAACTAAGATCGCCATTGACGACTATCTCATTTTATTGGCATTGGTAAGAAGCATTAACCTTGCTAAACAGATTCCCATACTAACCTCACACATCAGCCGTGCGCTCTAGGCACAGCGGCTCTCTGCATCGTCAGTATACCTTACGGCGGTGGAAGACATCTATGGGTTGTAACTTTTACCGAATTCACAAGTTTATGGAAGATGGCATATTCTTTTGTGCCTATTTACGCGACTACCGTAACCTTGACAAAAGCTTCGATCTTGATGTTTTACCGAAGAGTATTTGGTATTAATATCGTCCACCACATCTGTATGGGTCTAGTCATCGGATGGTATGTGGCCATCATTATTGCCTGGTTCGCCGGCTGTCGGCCTGCTAGCTACTTCTGGGAGCAGTTCACGGACCCTGGAGCAACGGGATATTGCATGGATACGTCGCTGTTTTACTTCGTTAATGGTATCTGCGCCATGTTGATTGACATCGCTGTTCTGTGTGTGCCAATTCCCACAAGTAAGCCATGCACAGTATATCATCAATGATCCTCCGACTGACCACGCCGCCAGTTCTCAAGCTCCAAATGCCGAACAGACAAAAGGTCGCTGTTGGAGGAATTCTACTTCTTGGTGCATTGTGAGTCGTCCGATGGATTACATTACTATTCGAGTGCTGACGAGAATTTAGTGTTTGTGTTGCAAGTATTGTCCGAATCGTTTATATGGATAAATTAGTCAAGGCCACAGACTTCACCTGGGCTATGGCACAGGTCTTTATCTGGTCTTGCTGCGAGCCATTTGTTGGTATTGTGTGTGCCTGTCTCCCTACCTTTGGTCCACTGTTGCGACGATGGTTCAAAACGGCGACATCAACGGTAGAGGGTAAGAACAACTCAGATTCGTGGGACAAAAACAAGCCAAGGAGTCAATGGAAACCGTACCATGGCGGCTTCAAGCTGCGTCAGGATGATGAGCTGGAGCTAACTGTTGATGTTTCTCATGGGGATGCCCAGTTCGAGAGCAAGAGCGGGAGCAGCATCTACGTGCAGAATGAGTTCACTTGGGCTAGTGGGGGCTCCGCCCAGTCAAGGGGATCATAAACCTCTGATCAATAGAAACGAAACGAAGCACTCCGGATCTAGGTCTATCTTTTCAATATATTGAATCTATGATGATAGCTCGAGACTTTCTCTGATCACTTCAAATGGCTTCATCTTTGATCCAGGCAACGGTCTCGCTTTGCCCACATAATTTGCACAAGGGCTTAAAATCCCGCCCACTTGATACACGATCAAGCATCCTGGCATCCTGGTATCTTAGTTTGGATCCTCAGGCTCCTCTGCGGATGAGACATGATATCCTACATAGTAGCGGGGAAGCGGAACCTCGTCTCGGCCACAAGGAGGAGTTCATTAGTCGCGGTTTCCGACAACTCACAAAATTCTACAGGGCTTTGCCTTGAAATTTGTCGTCAACCAACAGGCCAAGTAGCCAAGTCAACCCTTGACCAGGGCATTTCCTCCGACCCTTGCAGTGGAGAGCGGATCACCTCGGGATTAAGTCCGGAAATTGACTAATGGCCGGGGAACCGCATTAATTTCCTAGCTCATCCTTCAAAACCAACAACCAACAACCAAGAGCCCTTGCAATAGTAGGGTTAAGAGACCCGCAGCGGATGCAGCTCCCTTGCTTCCGGTTTGAAGATCAACAGAGTATTGCCGAGGTTGAATACATATCTGCCAACTATCCGTTGAGGGACGTAAGATTGCTACGCTATGTAGACTGTCCAAGCATTCTCAACTATTTCGAACAGGTTGAAATCATTTAGCACGGCTTAGACAGGAGTGATTAGACTCTGCATCGTCGGGGAATGATCAGCATCCCGCCGGGAGATCGCTGTCTCGGCTGCAACTGTTTCCCACCCAGCTCGCTTCGCTTACAGTAGCCTACCCACAATGTCGTAGCAAATTTAGATGCGACACATAAACTAATCTTCCCCTCACACTGTTGGTTCGTATAGCCACACTCGCGTAAGGGGACCCTGCAATATCGCCACTCCAAAAGGAAGGTACAATGGGACGGTATATTCAATAGCCTACTAGCCTACCAAACCCACATAGCCAGCCAACCGGTGTTATGCACTTGATTAACAAGGACGTTTCTTGTTTTCATGACTCGGACAAGATGAATACTAGGAGCGTGGTCCTCACCAAGTGGACTCCAGCTTCTGCGGCGCGATAAATATCAAATGTTTGTTAATACGGATACTGAGGCGGACATATCCGCTTTTAGCGCTGCTCCCTAACTATGGTCCTAGAAATGCCCGTGCCTGGATGCTCATGCATCTTCAAGGATAATCTCTATCCCAACCAACACACATCTGAAGGGCTTGCAAAATACGTGGGGCAATCTGGGTCATGGTGCACACGGCAGTCGCCTTCAAAATGGGTATTTAGTCAAGGAAAACCAGGATAGAAACCTGTCAAATATCATTTCCGACTCTGCTCGTACATAAACTGATCTCAACTGGACCAACACTCTTCCTTGCTTTCCCTCCTTGTTTACCTTTTCCTCCTGCCAAGGGTCAAGCGGACAACATGTCCTCCACTCCAATCACCGGAGACCCTCTCCTCGAGCAGCCCGCTTTTACTCGGACGCGAAAGATGCGAGTGGTCTGCATCGGTGCTGGGTTCTCTGGTCTGCTCGTTGCGCACAAGGTTCAACATGAGCTGAAGCTTGAAGAAGAAGTTGATTTGACAATCTACGAGAGGAATCCCGATATTGGTGGGACTTGGTTTGAGAACACTTACCCAGGTGCTGCTTGGTGAGTTCCGATGTTTTGTAAATCAGAGACAGCACTGACATTATTTCTTTGCTTGCAGCGATTTCCCCGCTCGTAAGTTTCGTCTTTGATCCAATAATTCCTACTCGAGCTCACCGAAGTACTCTAGATGCTTACGTTTTCCCATTTGAGGGTAATCCTGACTGGAGTAAATTTTACGTTGGCCAAGAGGAGATCCACAACTATATCAAGCGCACGGCAGAAAAGTATAACCTGACTAAGTATATCCAGCTCAGCACGACCATCAAAGAGACAATCTGGGATGAGACGTCTGGGAAATGGAAGATCAAGCTTGAACAAGGTGGTGAGATTAAAGAGGATGAGGCAGACTTTGTCATCAATGCATCTGGATTCTTGAAGTGAGTATTGCGATGCTAAGTTTTTCATGACTAGTATACTGACTGAGGTCAGCAAGTGGAAGTGGCCCGATATCCCAGGTCTCTTTGACTTTAAGGGCAAACTTATGCACAGCGCAAACTGGTAATACACCAAAGCCCTTTTGTATTGTTGCCTTCTAACGAAGACTTAGGGACAATTCGTACGACTGGAGGCGCAAGAGGGTAGCCGTCATCGGTAATGGAGCATCTGGAATTCAATGTGTTGCTTCCATGCAGCCCAAAGTTGAAAAGCTAGTCAACTACATGCGTCAGCCAACTTGGATCTCCGTTAACTTCTTGATCGAGAAAGCACCCGATGGTGTCAATCGCGAGTATACGGAAGAGCAAAAGCAAATCTGGAGAGATAATCCCCAGGCCTTTTACGAGTACAGGAGAGATCTTGAGAAGTCGTAGGTCAATCCCTTGATTCTTTCCCAGGCGACCTTACTAACTAGCAGCAGTATCAACGCTTTCTTCTTTGTCATGTGTCTCGACCATCCCGCACAGCCGTTCTACGAAGGTCTATGTAAAGAGCGTATGTATGAATCCATGAAGAATGATCCTGAACTTGAGAAACGAATGGCTCCTAAATTCAGACCTGGCTGCCGTCGTATCACACCAGGTGATGGATATCTGGAAGCTTTGCAAGAGGACAACTGCGAGGATTGCTGGGATCCTATCAAGCGCATTACTGAGAAGGGTATTGAGACTGAAAAAGGAGTTGAGGAATTCGACCTCATCGTCTGCGCCACCGGCTTCGACAGCTCGTGGCTACCTCAGTGGAAGTTGGTGGGTCGTGACGGCGCTACACTGGAAGATATGTGGAAGGAGGATCCTGAGGCCTTCTATGCTTCTATGGTCAGCCATATGCCCAACTACGCCATGATCAACGGACCCAATGCTGCTATTTCTCATGGTTCTGTGATTCAACAAATGTCTTGGACAGCAGACTTTATTCTCAAATGGGTCAAGCGTATGAACCGTCATCAGATTAAGTAAGTACCTCTTTCACTCTTATCGTGTTGGGCTCTAACTAACGTTCTAGGACTATTTGTGTTAAGGATGAGTCAGTGAAGGACTACAACGAGTACCAACAGGAGTTCCTCAAACGTACCGTTTGGTCAGGCGAGTGCCGAACTCTATACAAGAACGGTCGCGCACAAGGTCGCATCACGGGTGTTTATGGTGGTTCAGTGGTGCACTTCCAAAAAGGCTTGGAAGAGGTTGGAGGGGAGCATTTCAACTTGACTTGGAGGCACAGGAATCGTTTTATGTGCCTTGGTAATGGCACAGCTGAGACTGATGAGAATGGGTCTGGTGATCTCGCGCCTTACTTTGAAGCTAACGCTCCTGGTTCAAAGAAGTGAGAGGCGCGGATAGAAATATTTTTAAAACAATCCGACAGAGAATATTGTTTACGAGTTCTACCGTTACAAGCGACTAAGACTGGACTAGTTGATCTATTCTCTTCTTAGATGTGGAGCTATCAAGTTAGTTCCCACTGTTATCTCCAGTGTCATGGGGCGATATTGGTCTATGCTATCACCCCATAGACCAAGACGTGATCAACCCTTCCAAGATCTAGTTTACCATCATACTTGAGTATTTCTTAGCCGGCGATAAATTGCAGGCCTTTGCTGTTGCGCTTGCGCTTGTTATCTTAACTCCAGCTTACACAGATTCCCTACCCGTTGTCCTTCTTAACCATGGCACAATCAACCCAAAAATACCGCACCCGGCCTGCGAATTTATTTGATGTACCAGCCGTCACCCAGATCTACGCCTCCGCGTTTGTCAAGGAGCCTCTGATCGACTTTTTCTTCCCTACGCGAAGACAAGAGCCTGAATCTTATTATACGTGGGCTTATCGGAGGTTTCAGTGCCGGTATTGGACTCCGGGTTACTTACTCACCGTTGTCGTTGATTCAAATGATCATCCCGTCGGGTTCTCATGGTGGAAGCGGCCACTGGCAGCGTCTTCGCTTCTGCAGAAGGTCTTCACACCTTGTAAGCATTTTACAAACCTGCTATGGCCAGCTCACTAATCTTCTGCAGCGTTCTGGGTAGAGTCGATTGTCAAGGCTGTTACAGCCGTGAAGAACTATCTTTCACCCGTGCATGGCTTTCAGAAGAAGAACATGGAAGCGTTCGAACAGGCATTTTCTAAAGTTGAGTCGGAGGTCCTTGATACAGCGGAAAGACGCGAAGCCCAATACCTTACGCTGCTTGCGGTTGATCCTGTTTATCAAGGTCAAGGGCTTGGTCAACTGCTGCTGGAGCACGACTTGGAAAGGGTTGACGAAGAGAAGTCCACCGCCTGGCTGCTTAGCTTGGCAGGCCTTGAGCCCTTTTACGAGGAGTTTGGCTTCCAACAAACTGTCAAAGTTGATGTCGAAGAGATGGGTGAGTGGAAGGGCGGGATGGTAATGTTGAGAGATTAGATAGTATGAAAGCAAGGACAAACCTACCAAGGCTAGGTGGAACAATAGACACCGATTCCTGATAGTAACTGCAGCAGTTTATGCCACGTTTCTCAATTACTATATGAATATTTGTTTTATTGTGCCCCCCCATTGAGTTGATAGATCGTGTCCGACACCTTGTACTCCTGCAAAGCCTTGATGGCGCCCTCCGCCGTCTGGGACACACTGAGTAGACTCTTGTTACCAGGGTTCACAAAGCCCTCGCCAGTCGCCTTATCCAACCACTGGATAATTCCGTCCCAGTATCCCTCAATGTTAAGAAGCACCATACCGCTACTGTGGATTCCAAGCTGGATCCAGGTTGTAGTCTCAAAGATCTCCTCCATAGTTCCAAAGCCGCCACTAAGCCCTACAAAGCCACTACCCGGACCGCCAGCGAAGATCTCCTCTGCCATGAGCTTCTTACGTGTATGCATGTCCTTGACGAGGGTTGTTCGACCAAAGATGGTTTCATCAGGAACATTTCTTGTCTCGCTATTTCGCTCGTGTGGTATCATAGCTTCGGGAATGATTCCATGGACTGATTGAGGGCCATTGATGGAAACCAGAGTCTTGGCAACTTCGCCCATGAGGCCGACAGTACCGCCACCATAAACTTTACTCTGTCAGATGCGCGGCGAACAAGAAAGACAGAATTGAACTGACCAAGATCGATATTTCTAGCTGCCATTGCCCGGGCTAGATTTCGGGCGGCTTCCATGTGACCTGGACTAGCTCCAGGACTCGCGCCGCAGTAGACACATATCTTGGTGCGCGCCGTCATGTTGGTAGAAGTAGTGTGCGTCATTCTGGAAGATGACGAAACATATACTGATTGGCGATTGAGAAGATGCAATTTGAATGGTGAAGCGACTCTCATAGTAATACTATGGGCTTGTTATATATATTAAGTCTTGAAATTGTTTGCCTCCAGTCGTCGGCCGAGATGAACGATGAAGCTGGCCCAAGCTCACGCTAGAGGCGGCATCTCGGTCGGGCTGACTACGTCGGTGAACCAATCGTTGAGCGCTTCTTATCATTTTCCGCCTCTAGCCTATTACGACAGATAAGAGAACGTCATATCTCGGCCGTGTTGGAAAATCTCGCCCGCCCGTATGACAACCAGCGAAAGAGGCTATCATGACAGGACATAAACCCGCACGTCGCAGTCAAGGATCGGTCCAGACATGCACAAACTGTGCGCGCCGGAAAATCCGATGTTCGAAAACCCTCCCCTGCGCGACATGCGTGCGGCTCAACAAAGCCGCATCCTGCCAGCGAGAAGAGGTCGTGGTGGTTACAAGACGATCTCTGCAACCGAACCCTACTCCCGCATCAGCATCCTCTACCGAACGGACCGGAGCGGAGCACAGCCAGACTACACCGAGTCCTTATGTCACTGCTACGACCACAATCCCAAACGTCCAAGACGTTGTTCCACAAATCAATGACCAGATTCTAGAACAGCTTCTAGCCTCATTATTTTCGCCTGAGTCACGGTTGACGAATGAAGCAGCCGCTACCCTGGAGTTTCTCATTCACGGTCGGCGAAATGTTCTGAATCAGTTCATAGGTCGAGAAACTATACCTGTGACGCCTGCAAGTACGGTCCAAGGCTGGGACATTTTCTTCTCAATCCCAGATGCCCGTACAATTCTCAAACTTCACGAGATGCACTTGGTCTGGATGCACAATGTCGCTCACATGCCGACGTTTCTCAGCGAGTTTGAAGAGAATGTTCTCAAAGCCGACTGCGAGAAGAGTTGGGTGGCACTTTACTATGCTTTGCTCTCGGTACAGTGATGCGATTGATGCTACGCACGCGGCTAACACTTTCCAAGCAAACCCTTCACCACATTGACAGTGACTGTCTTCCTCAAGTCAGCCACGAAGCATCTCGGGTCTTGTTCGACAAGAGCATAGAGACATTGTATCAGGCCGGATTCATGGATCAACACAGACTGACGTCCGTTCAAACCATATGTCTACTGGTTCAGGTGGCCCACAACTTCAATAAATCCGATCTTATCTGCGTATTGGTCTCCAGTGCCATTCGAATCGCTCAATGTCTTAATCTGCATCGATTGGGACCGGACCCAGCCATCAGCTCCGGCAATGCACAAGATATCATAGATCGAGAGGTGAAGAAACGGGTGTGGTGGTTTCTTGTTCGCTACGATTGGCTTCAGATACCTTTTCAAAATACGTGTCAGATCCATATGGCTCAATTCGACACTCCCATGCCAGTTAATTGTCATGACGATATAGGCAGAATAATTGCAGATAGCAACGTTGCTGCACAACCTGCCAATAGTTATACGATTACTACCTGGACAAGGTGTCTTCACGACCGTAGGTAGTTTCTTTGATCTAGCATCGCATGTTGCCAACTAACAATCATATATAGTATCTGTTCTGATGTGGCATCACCAAGACCGCAAGTCTCAGACGCACAACCCAATAGACATCTCAGGTCGATACGAAGAAGTCATTCGAGCTGATAACGAACTCAAAGAACTATATTCGTCTTGGCCACAAACCTTCCGCGATACCAACACTATCCCCAGTAGCCATCCCTCCAAAGATGGTCTGCCAACTGAGCTTATGCCCGCCATGATTTTGATGAGCACTGCACAAAAGGTACGTCTTCAATTTACAGTGATGGATCCACGACTGAGAACGCTTTAGATATTTACCGTCCATCGTGAGTTCCAGCTATCATGCTTTCGCGACCGACGATTCGCTTTCTCTCAGGTAAAACGTCCTCAAACCATACCGAAAGTCAACTAAATAGTCCCATAGCTTTCGTGCGTCACAATAGCAGAACGAAGTATCGAAGCATTCCAAAAATGGCCCGATTGTCTCGAAGCACGCATCTGTCGAAGGATGTGGACGACACTCTCATACGTCATTAGTTGCTGCATTACCCTCTGTTTCGCCTTGCTATTCAAAGCACAGAATAGACTTATACACGAGTTTGACAGGATGCATGGCTATGTCAAGTGGGGTAAAGAATTCATTGCAAAGGAGGAACAGACCAGTTCTATTGCTCGCCGAGGTGTGAGGTTACTTACCGCACTGATGGATTTAGGCCAGTCAGTACAGTTCTCGGTTGATATTGAGGCTGATATTGGGAGTGCTATTCGCCGTGTGGCGCTGGCGGACGAGAATAGTGCGGAGGCTGAAGGTTACCAGATTGTATTCCCTTATGGCCAGGAGCTGTGGGAGAGTTTGATGTAAGTCGAAATCACTTCCTAGCCTAGGATAACTCTTTGGGTTACTGGATTGCTTAAACCCCAGTATTCCTTCATAACACGACCACAACCAGCTCTATAGGCAATGCCGTTCTCGTCGTGTTGCACCCAGAGGACGTTATAAAATTCGTACTCCTCATTATCACTGTAATCTTCCCTGCTGAGTTCAAGATTTTCGTTGTAATCTCCCACAGCGAGAACCCTGTAGTTCTCTTCGCGCCTGTGAGACAGTTCTGTAGAGCTACCCACCCAGCGATCATTCTCGTCATATATAGCTCTGAACGGCCTGGGATTGTAGTACCTACTTCTCCTGAAGACCTTCTCTTCGAAGCAGTCTCTGAGGTCTTCCCCATTTGCAGTGCCCTGTGACATAGCGACGATCGTCATCTTGTTTTGTGTCACAACTGCTGTGCTGTCGGTAATGCGAAGCAAGCCCGAGAATCTCCCTGTTGAATCTTGTAGTACCACGACTTTGGGCATATCGTTCAAAGGCTTCTCGGATAAAACGGGGTTGACAGAAGAATTCATAAATGCTGTGGGCTTCGTCACCGATGGCTTGATGCGGATCTCCAGAGTTGCGGGGGGGGGGGGGGG